CAGTCTCGCCGCTACACTGCTCAGCCGTGCGCTGGTCCAAGATTGGTGCCAGTTTCGCCGGCCGATTTTTCATTGCACTGCTCAGCCGTACGCTGGTCCAAGAAAGGTGCCAGTCTCGCCGCTACACTGTTCAGCCGTGCGCTGGTCCAAGATTGGTGCCAGTTACGCCGGCCGATTTTTCGTTGCACTGCTCAGTCGTGCGCTGGTCCAAGATTGGTGCCAGTTTCGCCGGCCGATTTTTCATTGCACTGCTCAGCCGTACGCTGGTCCAAGAAAGGTGCCAGTCTCGCCGCTACACTGCTCAGCCGTGCGCTGGTCCAAGATTGGTGCCAGTTACGCCGGCCGATTTTTCGTTGTAATGCTCAGCCGTGCGCTGGTCCAAGATTGGTGCCAGTTACGCCGCTACACCGCTCATGCAGCTGCGCGCTGGTCCAAGTTTGGTGCCAGTTACGCCAGCCGAAATTCGCGACACGAATGTTCTGTAGTCCCTGTTCTGCTGATCTCCCCCGTGCTATAGCAGCGCATTACTCTCAACGTAATGTAACTCGCTAGGGCTTCCGTGTATGCAGCAGATGTAGTTTTGCTAATTTGCAAGCACGCTGCGTGTGTTGCGGACCATGTGCTGGTGTTGAAGCGAGCTGCGTCTCACGCGCTCCTCAGTTACCGTTTGCGGCTATTGTATGTTGTGTGCCGGACATGCGCCGGGTGAATGCATTTGTTTTACTTTTATGCAAATTTTTATCTGCACTTAATTTTGCTAAGCTTACCTGCCTACGCATCGTTCTCGGGTTCGTGGGGGTAATGGGCTTTTCCTCACCCAAAGGCATTGTTGGAGTGCACAATACATAGACCCATAATCACAACAACGCCTTTGCGAGCTCGAACGAAGCGTAGAAATGTAACATTATAAGTCAACTGATAATGTTTTTTCTCCGCGGTGAGGGCGAGCGCCGCCCATGTGATTGCGTCATACCGCCCGCTCGTCAGGTCCGCATGACCCGAGCCCGGGTCATTCGCGCTCGCAGCGCCGCCGAGAGCAGTCAGCCACTGAGCCGTGGGCTGAGCGCGGCGCTTCCTGCTTTTCGCCATCCACCTCCCCTCCGCCACCGACGCGACTGTATTTTATCATTCGTGTAATTGTGCAGCTTCGCGTACATGCTTGATGCGTTGTGCAATGTACATACCCTCGTCTTCGGCTATGTATTGTGGGCTTTTCCTCACCCAAAGGCATTGTTGGAGTGCACAATACATAGACCCATAATCACAACAACGCCTTTGCGAGCTCGAACGAAGCGTAGAAAATATGTTTTCCTTCTATTGGGTCATGTCTGTTGCGTATGGTTAACACTAGCCTGCGCACGGGAATCGTGCCCGACTCGTGGAAGGTGTCGATCATTCACATTCACCCCGTGCCAAAGAGCGGTGCTTCATCTGACCTGTCCAACTTTAGGCCCATCTCAATCGTTCCAACCATCGCAAAAATCGTTGAAAGGGTGGTGCAGGAGCAGCTGTCATGTTACTTCAACGACAACCACTTGTTTAATGTAAATCAACATGGGTTTCGCGCGCATCATTCCACCGAGACGGCTCTTTTATGCCTAACCGACAAAGTACATCAAGCCATGGACGTGGGGAACATATCGTCGCTTGTGATGCTTGACTTGTCAAAGTGCTTCGATGTTGTTGATCATGCCCGGCTATTGGACAAACTGCGGCTGTATGGCGTTTGTACTCGGTGGTTTGAGAGCTACCTGTCAAACCACCGTCAGCAGGTAGCGCTGGCGTCCCGCACCGCCGGCCGCCGCCTGTCTCGCGCGCTGGTCAACCCGCTAGGCACGTATGTACCAGGGATCCGCCCTCGGGCCTCTGTTGTATAGCATTTACAGTAATGTCATGCCACTGTACGTCGAGGATGCCAACATCATCCAGTACGCTGATGATACACAGGTTTTAGTCACAGGTCCAAAGCATACGATGCCGCTCAACATTTCGAATATGGAGCGCAGTTTAGCCTGCTCTTTCATGGTGGTTTCGAAAGAACGCCATGAAGCTCAATGCCAGCAAAACTCAGCTGATTGTTTTCGGCTCTCGTCCTAACCTTAGACTCCTGCCGCCGGTAACGGTAACAATTGACGACACTTTGATCAGAGAGAGCCCAATAGCCAAGAACTTGGGCGTCATTTTCGACCGACATCTGTCATTTGATAGGGCAATATGGCTCCATATTGATCATGTGGTGCGAAAGTGTTCGGGTATTCTGCTGTCGCTGTGCCATGCCAAACATGGACTACCAGCTGAGGTGTTACCTCGGCTCATAGACGGTCTCGTCATGTCCTCTATTCGCTACTGTGTATCGGTGTACGGGGCAACCAGCGGTCAGCTTGTCCAGAGAATTCAAAAGTGCATAAACTTTTGTGCCAGAGTCTTATCGGGCAAGCGCAAATACGACCATATCAGCGACACGCTGAGGTCTCTGGGCTGGCTGTCTGCTGGTCAACTCCATCAATATTACACTCTGACGGCTTTGCGCAGGCTGTCTGACATGTCCGAACCCGAGGAGCTAGCTGCATTGTTTGTCAGAAACAGCGAGGTGCACACGCGGACCACGAGGGCCAGAAACCAGCTCCATCTGCCGCGCATCCGGAACGAGTACGGGCGGAGGCGCTTTGCCTACAGGGCAGCTTCCCTCATGAACTCTCTTCCGTCCCATGTTTGTGATTGTCGCGGCAGTAGAAAGCAGTTTGGGGCTGCCCTCAAACGCCACATGCTCTCCAATACTTGACTCCGATTTTTACACTGATGGTGTTGTGTTTGTGTGTTTGTGTGTGTAAGCGTGTATGACAACCGTGCCAGCATTCTCAATTTAGTCGTCTCCTGTGTTCTATACTTGTATGACGAAAACATGTAATAGCCTCTTTATAGAGGATATGTTTGATATGTTCAATAAATAAATAAATAAATAAATAAGTGCACAACATAATACAACTCAAAAATATGGACGGAACTATAGTCTGTTCCATATCAAGCTTGCAGACGGAGTTTCTTCGGCAGATCACTCCTCCGCCCAAGGCCCTAAATACACCTCCGCCCAAGAATTTGCGTCTTAAAATGTAAGAGCTGTATATACAGAAATCACGCACTGCTTTCAGCAGGGCACTTCGGCTGCAAACTTGAAACGGAACAGAGTATAGCACGTAAAGGCTGAAACAGACTCTTTCCGCGTTCAGGAAATCGCATGCGAGAGCCTATTCAAATACATTATAATTCTTCTCGCATCAATCGCTTGCGGGAGGTGCGTGCGATTGATGCGAGCGTGCTTCCATGTATTTGAATAGGCTCTCGCATGCGATTTCCTGACTGCGGAAAGAGTCTGTTTCACGCTTAACTGTAACAATATGTCAAGGATATACTCGTAAATATGACGTCTGCCTATAGATCGTCTGTAATGTGGCTTCGGTGGTAGAAGAAGGACATTCTCATTGCTCCATTTTTGTGTCAAGCTCACTTCCGTAACCGCCGTTAGCCCGAGCAACGCTTCTTGAGGGACTGTTGTCCCGTTCTTACCTCATTTTACTCGTGTTTTGAGAGAAAACTGCACATTGCTCACCATTGTTCAGCACGCCCACCTGCGCTTTAACCCGCGCACCGACGGGGGTCTGCGCCAACTTAGTACCGACGGGGGGGGGGGGGGGGGGGCGGATGACCGCCCCCCCTGAGATCTCGAGAACGAAGCAAGATAGCGACAAGCGGTAAACGGCATCGGATACGCACGGACAAAGTCTACAATTTTTACTAAGGTCATTTTCAGGTCAGGTCAAAGATGACGTCACAGGGGTCGAAAAAGTCAAAATGGCGGCGCTAGATATGGAGAGCGTTTTTCTCGAATAACTTTCGAAGTAGTCAAGATAGGAACAAACTAAGGGCATCATCGTGATCCTCTCAGCAATCCGCATCGAATGATATATATGTTGACCTCGAAAGGTCAAGGTCAAAGGTTGACCTCAGGTCACGTGACCTCGAGGTCATCATGTATATCATTCGATGCGTCTTGACTAGCTGAACACAATGAGACCATCCGCGCGGCTGTATCTTGTTTCTGTAAGGAGTTATTGGCAAAAAACCTTTGGTGACCTTTGATGACGTCACATGACCTTACAGCTGCCCAACAGCAAAACAGACCTCAAGGTAGTGAAGGTTGATCGTATGTGAAGTCATGTATGGTATATGGGGCCATTCCGACCCGTTTTAGTGGTAAAAACAGGGAGTTGATTTTTCCCCCATTGACTTATAATGGGGAGGTCGCGAAATTGACCTGACCTTAGGTCACCGACATCAAAATTCCGAGATATACAAATTGTAGCTACTAATGACCTAATAACATCCTGCGACTTTCAAAGGCCTCCGACATCTACTGTAGCTCTGGCAAGGTGACAAAGTTGCAAAAAAGTGACTTGAGGTTGGGTCATTCAAAGTGACCTGGTGAACTGACCTTTAAAGTTAGGAGGTTCAAACTTGCACACCATGTGTAAAATTGATGAGAGAATAGTCATATCAAATTTCGCGGCGCTACGCGCCGCGGTTTTCCCGCTATCCGCGAAAAACCTCAGGGGGGGGGGGGCGGATATCCGCCCCCCCCGTCGGTGCGCGGGTTAAGACTGTTGTTAACTCGCTGTTCAGTTCTTGCCCCGCACCTCACGCAAGAAGATAAGTTACTGGCGTCATATAACCCTCAGAGGTTGGGCACGCCATCAAACCCAATCATCATCATCACTTCCGTAAGCTTTTTTATCTCCCTCCCTCCTTCCCTACATCCTTCCACCTCTCTCCTCTCTCTCTCTCTCTCTCTCTCTCTCTCTCTCTCTCTCTCTCTCTCTCTCTCTCTCTCTCTCTCTCTCTCTCTCTCTCTCTCTCTCTCTCTCTCTCTCTCTCTCTCTCTCTCTCTCTCTCTCTCTCTCTCTCTCTCTCTCTCTCTCTCCCTCCCTCCCTCCCCCGTCACAAACCACAGCGACGTGACCGACGTTGTACCAGACGTCGCCGGCCGTCTGGTCGTCGGCCAGGCTCAGCGCCCGCTGGAAACACGTCAGTGTCATGTCGTACTGCTGCGCGTAGAAGCAGCACAGACCCAGGTTGTTGAATATCTCCGCGTTGTAGATGCCCATCTGCAACAGGCGCCTGAGGGGGATGAACATATCTGTCAGGTGATTACTTTTGGTCGAACGGAAACAGCACTCGACTCAATCAACGGCCGGGAGCTACGTTTTACCATGGATGAGGTACTTCATCCATGGTTTTACGACCTTAATTCTTGATCATGGCCTTCAGAGTTCAGCAGCAAATGAGGGGGGAAAGGACGATATCAATCGCTATGATCCGCGGCTATTCGAGACACCTGGCGGCATTTAACCCAGCTCTGCAGCCAGGCTGGACGGCATATCATGCCCTCTAGCGTCGTCTACAACTCCCCGGGGCGCCAACCCGTCATATAGCGCCCTCTGTGCCGCCCCTTCCCTCCGTTCCGTCGCTTCCATCCTCAGGATACTGTAATCCTTCTCCTCCATGCCGCAACCCCCACTCCGGGCTGGGCAGGCACCTTTATCTCAAGCGGGCTGCTCCCTTGGAGCGGCACCGCTGCTCCCGAGGGAGCGCACCCCGTAGCCGGGTGCAATGAGTACCTTGGGGCTGGGTGGCCTGTCTTTCGGAACGGGCTCAGCCCCGGCGACTCTCTAGGGTGTCTGCCCAGACCATTCCCCTAATTCCTATCATCCTTTCGGTTCTGAAATGGTCTTGTCAGACCGAAAGGGCCTAACCCAACAAAACAAAACAAAAACCACCCCTTCCCACCGAACCCACACACGCCCACACGGCTCCTTCCCAGCACCACGGAGCGCTCTCTACACAAGTCCGGTTCCCCTCGCAGCGCCCCCTGGCACCCCTCACCGGTAGAAGCGCAGCGCCACCTCCGGCTGGTCGCCATAGAAGTGGTTCAGGCCGATACAGGCGATCGCTTCCACGTTGGTGGCGTCCTGCTGCAGCACATCCTTGTAGAACTTGGCCGCCCGAGTGATGTCGTTCAGACCCTCATAGATCCTGTCAATGATGGCATGGCGAAAGCTTTAGCACGCCAAGATGGGCAAAGTGACTACTTCGTGAGATGTCACGATAATGGTGGGATTCAACAAGCGTAGACGATGGTTACGCCTAACAAAATGTGTGCAAACATTTGGACACATTTATATTGCATATCACATCTATTGATCTGACCTCGAATACCCGATACTTGCCTTACCCCAGCGACCGACACTGACCTAGCCCCGCTCGGTAATACGACTCTGCCCTTACATCGACGACCCGACACTGACCGCCAAGGTTTACCTGACGACTCAGTCCAGCCTGACCTCGGTAATCCTCAACTAGCCCAGTCTGACCTGACCTCAGCGACCGGCTCTAGCGCGACCTCCGTGATCTGACGTGACCTGACCTCTGTCCCTCGGCACTGACCCGACCTCCGTCCCCCCCCCCCACTGACCTAGCAATACCGGTGAGCAGGGAGACCTCGTCGGGGAACGAGTCGAGTCCCTGTCGGAACACGCTGAGCGCGGCGATCGGCTGGTCCAGGCGCACGTACACCCGACACAGGTGCAGCACGGTGGCCACCATCGGCTGACAAAGAGGGAGAGAGGGTCAAGGAGGGTCACAGGGGAAAGACGGTGCAGTACTGTGAGTCATGGTCACGAATATTACTTAACTAATAGTGGCCACCAGCTGCTGAGTTTTAATTACTAAGACTCAGCGTAAGGGATCCACTCTCTCCATCCTCGAACTGCGATCTCATCCCTTCAGTCCACCTGAAGCCCGGCCGGTTCCTATCACACCTCTCTAAGGGTGGCCGGCACGGTGACGAGCCAGCCGTTCCAAAGGTTGACCAGGGGTCGAGGTAACCTCCCGCACCGTACGATGGCCGTGACGGCTGGGCGCTGGATCAGCTCCACCCGCACGAGTCGCGGCGCCCGAAGGTGCTGAGCCGTGCCGTGCTGTACCGTGACGTAGGTAACGATCCACTGATCTCCAAACACCGGCAACATCACAGCCCGGTAAATTAATAATGGAAAATGTTGATCCAGAATAGGGTCCATTTCGTAGAGAACAAACCAGCTTTAAACCAACAAGCCTGAATACACTTCAAAGTTGAAACCTTCCTACTTCGCACCTCTTACTCAAATTCGCAGCAACTTATTTGCACTTATTTAGGGGCTACTGGAGAAACGACAGGGATTTTTTCCTTTCCTGCTGAAACTATAGGCTAAGCAGTGAGCAGACTGAAGCTCGTGTTCCCAAAGGCCCTTTCTAACCCGTCGGGAGAGCATGTTTCGATGGGGTGACATTGCAATGTAAATAGAAGATGTGGCGACATGCCTCATGCAACCGGAGTAGGTGCTTGTGGGCTGCATGATGCATTTTGTGGGCGATATAATATCATTTGCGGGCTGCATAATGGGGAGTTCATAGGGATGCCGGTGCTCCCGTAAATCTTCCGTCAAACCGTTGCTTTCGTCGTGCCCTACAAGTTACGCCCTTGTGGTCTGCACCCCATCCTGCTTAGACCTTTGACTGTATTCCGTAGTCTTATAAGATGGCACCGGCATGGTTTTTATGGCATCTACAACATGCGGTTCACCCAGCCAACCGCTTCCTGCAGATTTCATACGGAACGCACCAAAAGTTATTACTTATGCCTCTGGCATAAAGTAAGACAGCACAATCCACTCAGCAGTCAGCAGCCATTTAAAGATAATGACAGGCCATAAAGAGTCAAGTATCCCACAGTACCGTCGCGGGCCGCCCTTCCCCGGCAGGTACCCCGTTCGGCTGTCCAGTCCGTCCAGTCCGACCAGACGTGCGGCCCCTGAGAAACTGTGCGCCTTGCCGTCATATCAGTTCCCGTTCATTATACATTTGGCCGGCAATTCGGCGCCGTTGAGTGCCGTGCAGCGAGGACACGCCAAGTCACACCGGGCTCCCAAGGCCGCCGGCAGCGACGAATTACAGTCGGCAAATCGCTACCAAACACGGCCGCTCCATCGCGGCCCGGTTCGGCACAACAACAGCAATTAGTCGTCACCCCGGGCCGGGCGGAGATCACGAGAGATACCGGGCGTGGTCGGCACGGGCCGGGTACGGATCGCGCTGAGATGGGCCGTGACATCGTCCCGTTTCCTCGAGACCGCAAGCAGGCCTAGGCTGTGTCAGATCGGTAATTTAGCTGAGCGAATATTGAGCAAGGACGTTGTTGCAAATTAGTTCAAATACACACCCTACAGGCTACATTTACCTACATTTGGCAGCTATAGTTGTGATGCTGAGGAAAGTGCACAATTTCAGCCTCCCCACAATTAGCACAAGCCTAATCCACATTTAACCCGCGCCCCGTCGGGGGGGGGGGGGGGCGAAACGACCCCCCTGTCCTTTTCCGTCGATATCTCCTAAACGGCTGGAGATATCGCCACCAAACTTTCAGGACCCCTCCGGGCATCAATTTTACACATTGTGACCATTTTTTTTTTCCCAGAGGCTATGATAGGTTGGCCACAAATGACGTCAGAATGACGTCATGTTCTGCCATTTTCGACCGAAAAAAACCCTTCACGAGAAGAGCTGTCAGGCCTACAGCCTTGAAGATACAGAAAAATGATCAAAACATAAAAGGTATAGAATTGACAGGGCTACAAAACTGCTATCTCGCATTTTTGAAATTTTTTAGTTTTGACCCCCAAGAATCAAAAAAGCATTTTTTTTTAGTTGAGTTTCGAAAAAACGGAATATATGTAATAGTACCCGCCGTCTTCCATCTACATACCAAATTTCAGATCGATATCTCGTTTTTTGGCGAAGTTATAGCGAAAAAAAAACTTCAAAAATGATGACATAAAATTTTCAAACTCAATTTTTGGCAATTCTAGACCCCGTATGGCAAAACAAAGACCACCATTAGACTCCCCGTGATGAGCTGCATCAAATCGATACCCATTTTATGCAAAAATATCAACTTTGAAATTTGACCTAATTTGACCTGACCTTGACCTGACCTCGACCAAAACGTGACCTAAGCTGGCCCCAAAGGCTGCCTGACCCACACAATCGCATGTGTTATGTAAAATGGACCATAAAACATGTATCACACGACACTTTCATATTGTGACCCCCGGTGACCTGACCTCTGTGACCTGACCTGGTATCAGTGACCTCAGATAGCAAAGTATGTGTTTGACGAACAATGTACCATCGATGGTTTTCAATAATTTACCAATTTACTCGATTTCACAACACATTTCTTGAAATGCCTGTGAACGTCTGACCTTTGACCTGACCTGTGACGTCATCGGTTTGACCTAGGTCAATGAAATTTGGTCACAAGGTAGTTCTCTGGTGGGGCTATCGAACGCCGTTTGAATTTTGAAAATCAGCCGTTAAATTTCTGAGATCTTAGGGGGGCCGAAACGCCCCCCCCCCCTTCGGGTGGTAGGGTCCGCCGATAGCCCTACGGGGCGCGGGTTAAGACAGGTTCAACCCCACCCCAGCCAATTTTCTCCGCAGGTGTGTGGAAAAAGGACGCTTTATTGTTGTTCAACGAACGCATTCTATAGGTAGAAACGCTCATGTTAGAATCTTGCAGACCGTCCGTTCAACCCACGGCTACCACATGCGAATCACATATTATTTACAACAAACCGCCCAGAAAGCCATCACAAAAACATGCCACTAGCCCTCACAAGCCAAACGAACGTTCCTTTCTCAGACACACAATCAAACGGCATCCGCCATGCTGCATCAACCAAAAAACCACCGTCCGTCGGTCAAAACGTCTGCCCATCAGCAAACACGGAGTCAGCCTCGGCACAGGGGGGACGTCAGCGTTGGCGGCGCGTCTCCCGCCCCGGGCGGAGGGCACAGCGGCAGCCTGCCACGGCTGTCTACGGGTGACGGGGACGTGGACAGACAGTGACGGGACGGGGACAGTGATGGTGATGGTGATAGTGCTAGTGACGGTGATGATGATGGTGACAGTGACGGTGACTATGACAGCGACGGCAGGGAAGGGGCGCGGCAGGGCACTTCTAGTCCCTGGGTGTGGCCGGCCCACCGTCCCTGCGGCAGCTGCCGACCCGACGTGTGACCAATGCGCTGATTGCAGTCGGCATGTGGAGCCGACCTCCGGCGGCGCTCCAGTCAAGCCGCCGGTCATTCCGGGCCGGGACAGGCCGTAAATCGCCGCCCCCGCCCCCGCCACCGTTCCCGGGCCGCCCGCGGACACGGGGCGCCCCGGGCGGCTCCCGCGGCACAGGCGGCGGCCGGCACCGACCTCGGCCTTGTCATACCCCGGGCCGGAACTGTTGCACCGGCACAGAACACGTCACGCCGTGCCCCGGCACAGCGCCCCGGGGCTCCAGACGGCGGGAGAACGGGTCCAAAACGAGCCGAGCCATACTGGCCAGTCATTCCCGACTCAGCGCCGCCGGCAGCGCGCTGCCACAGGGCCCGGTGGTGGGCGGAGACATAAGAACGTTGTTAGCTGGGCATTAACGAGCTAATTAGCCGCTATCCCCGCACTGTTGGGCTATTACATTTGACTTCCAGCCGCAATGTGCAGAGATCAAACTCATAAGGCAGAGGTCGACCATAAACGGAGCGAGAAATCCCAATAATTGTCGTGCAATTACGACACAAACAGCTCGTATTCCAGTCGGTGCCTGACCTTGCCTTATCGACAATCGACTCCCCGTTCGTGGCGAGGCGTTCGCGTCGTTTCCCCTCCTTCCGTGTTTCGGAGACTGGATTTACCGAGATCGCAGTTGCGGAGCCTCCCCAGCCCGTGCCGGCCGTGCCACTTCCGTCCCACCCCACTGCGCTGACGTCCCCTGGCCGGAGGAAGGGGAGCGATCGGATCCGCCCTTCCCCGTCAGGCCAACACGCCCCACCGACCAGCCCGGTCACGAGCATGTAACGCGTGTTGTCCTAACGTCATGCGCGTGGCACGAGGTCGTTATACAGCCCGGATCTTTGGGGATATGAAGCCTGAGGCGCATCTGATGTCCGCATTGGAAGGGAATCGATGATTTTTGGCCTTTCCCAAACTCATTCTCTAATAAATTGATAAAAAATTGTGTAACGGGATATATGCGTGATAAGGAAAACGCAAAAAAGTAACACATAGCACAAAAATACACATAGGGTACTTTATAGAAATGGACGTGACCTCTCAGCTCTATTGAAAGTTTCGGGTAAAATGTATTCGAATTATTCACAAAATGGCCGGGCGTTCGATGCAAAATTTCTTATCATCTTTCAACGATGAGATGATTGTTTTACCGGTCCTGCTAATCTCAAATCATCTCAAAACGTGACACCACCTGTAGCCGAACGTGTCGATTTATTCTCCTCCGGCTCACCTGCCCTGACCTATGGCACGGTCCGTGACCCTGCTGAGCCGCTCTCCCCGTAATCACGAGTTCACGACACGGAACGGCGCTCAGCCCACCACCGACCGTGTCTGTCCGTGCCGCCGTCACTCGACACTCACCTGCTGTTTGAGAGCCGACTTGAACTGTTTCTCGGCCTCTCGGAACATGCCGAGCCGGTAGTAGCACTTGCCCAGCGCCAGCTTCCACCACCAGTCCTTGTAGCTGACCGCCTGGGTTGCCTGCGAGGCCAGGTCGCACGCCTGTCCGCGCACCAACACGCACATGCACAGAGCGCGTTAGGCCAGAGCTGGACTTTGCGTGCCGCGCAGTAGATTAATCCATCATCTTAATTCTAGACACATATATAATCCACTCCATATAATGACAATGCAAACTGGCACTGACTGACACTGACAGATGAAGGTTTGCGATAATTACTCTGAAGGCTTGGGTCGATTCTTTTTTTTAATTACCGTACGCTTTCTAGCAACGAAAGTGAAATTAAGTTGTTCGTACCACTGATAATACTGATCGCGTGGGAAATCAAAATGCCAAGCCCATTGGCCTATAATAAGTAGGTTGGCATATAATAAGCCAAGCCCAACAACACCCAACATAACTTTGTCAAGTTCGAGAAGTCAAAGACAAAGTTAAACATCCAGCGATAAAATTTGAGTGATCACTGATCAGACAAGGTAATTAACCCCTGAGTCCTGCTCCTTGGAGAGTATGGAATCAAACAAGCGAATTCTTTTCGACGGCTTAGCGCCTCACTTTCGCTGGATATTCATCTGATAAGTTCCCACTCGTAGTTCAGAAGCACGTACTATAAACGATGGGCAGTGGGCACACGCAAGCCGAAACTCCCGTCATCATTTTCGAAACTTCCGTCATCTTTTCGCGCACGAGCTGCACACTCTCAGTTGCGCGCCAGTTCCGTCCATGACGTCAGAGTCATTAAGCGGGTCCGCTGCGCCCGGCTGACCACTCCCACGGCCCACGCCGCCTATGACGGGACGGTTTGTTCGCCCAAGGCCCTCTCCGCCGGCGGCCGGACCCGGCAGACGGAAGCGGACTCGCAGGCGGCGTCAGGGGTGTGGTGTGTCGGGGGCGCTACACCCGCCCCCACACCTGCCCCGACCGACACGGGGGCGGACCGCCCACCGCAGAGCTCCCGATTGTTTATTACAGGTGTTATCGGCGGCCTGTCCAGAAACGGCCCGGTTTGATGGATTGTGGCCGTTTTAGAGCGTGTCGGCGTAATACGCCGGCGGCGGCCACCCACCGGGTGGGATCACTCGAGTGTGACAGATCTGGCGCAGTGCGGCGGCGCGCCGCGCCACAACAGCTCCAGGCCGGCTTCTGGATGGCTGCCATGACCTCTATCACACCATTCATCACGCATAGCTTCAGATTTATCTCGAGATAACTCACAATTTAGGCACATGTTCGCATTCTCAGATAATCACTTTGATAAAAAGCATAAGTGAATGCTAGTGCTCCCCTTGGACTTGCCTATGTCAGCAATACAATGCCGACGTTCCCGAGACACTTACATGCCTGATGTCGTTCTCGTGGTAGAAGATGTACTCGAAGAGCGGCTTGGCTAGCGTCTGCTCTGAGGCGTACTTGGCCAGGTTCAGACGCGCCAGGTTGATGAACGGCCCGTCGGGGGCCGACAACATCGACGCCGTGCCTGCAACGCATAGAACCGTGCTGAGTCGAAGTGGCATAGACTTTCAGTCGAATGAGAATGGGAGAGTTCTCAGCAATGTAGCAAAGGATTGACGGGGAGGCGAGGGAGGCTCGATTTGTTAACCATCAGGTAATTGGCAATCAAGCTGGGATTGCGTACACATTAACGGAGCTCGAAACCAAAGTGCCAATAATGCCACTATATACTCTATGGGATCGTAAAATCTACCGAACTGTGGCTGCAGCTGACACATACTCGTAGACACTGCACATAGCTGACGTCGTGAGGCACGTTCAGCTGATCAAATTGCGGGTTACAAGGCACAAATTAAAAGATCCACCCATGGACGTCATCCTTACAGTCACACTCTGATAACTCAATGCTTCCAATGGTGGTTGCTGACTCAGATAATCTTAAAAATATACGTATGTGCACACCGACACCATAGGATACCGACTCCGCTTTTGTGATGGCAGCACATTATTGAGTGTGGACGAATGGCAGTGATTTTCTTTGGTGGTGACGCTCAGTAAAACAGCATCAATAGCACAGTGACGCACAAATCACAAAAAACATAGCAATCAAGGACGGTAGAGACTAGAGAACCCGCCCAGCAATCGAAAAGCACCAGCGGTTCGGAAAATAACCGTGCCACGCACGAGTTACGCTCACCAAACCGTGGCGGGGCGTGTTGACACCCCACCCTGTCACAGTGTCACGAGATGCTCACTCCTCAGTGCCAATGAAGTGACCCACGGCCTCACGAAGCCCATCTACCCCTGGTTGCTGCCGATCATCCTCCCTGCGAGCTCCGGGTGGCCATAGGGTATTACAGGCGACACTGGGCGTCCGTGACCCTCCACTGCGCCCCAGGAACGCCTTTGGGCTCTGCCCGGAGCCGGCCCGAGCTGAGGTCACCCGGCGTCATTATTTCCACGGGGCGGCGCTCCCACAGCAGGCCGGCGCGGACCTTGGTGCCGATTGATGGCGCGTGTGTCGGCCGATAGCGCCGCCACGGTGACATGGCATGTCTCGGTGGCAGTGCGCGCCGCGTGGACCGCGGAAGTGCAGCCGGCCGGCCGGCCGGAGATGCCGGCGGGCGCGGCCGCCGGCCGGGCCGCCCTCAATCGTGACCGGGGTCACGGCTCGTTGAAAACGGCCGCCCCCTCTCGTCATTAGCGCCGGCGGTACGGCCGAGAGAGACAATGGCAGAGGAATTGGAGCGACTTCACGGAAGAATTGCACTGATTCAAGGCGATGATAATGCGGCCGCTCTCATGGCGCTCAACAATCTGATGCAAAAACGGAACCGACGAAAAGAAAATGTTCTCCACGTCGAGTTTATTACCATGAAGGTCACTATTGTGAGCTAATTGCATTGCCAATGGCTGAGCGACACCAGGTCAGTCGGATAATTTCCATCATCTAACCTTCATGCATAGACTGCATCCCTAACAACGGTCCGACTGCTGATTGGCGTTCAACAATCACTCATCGTCAAGAAGCCCATACCTCCAAGCCCATTCCCATCTTCTGTTAGCATTGCACAGAGATGTTTTGCCTCATTAAAAATCCACAACCTATGTGTAGCCCGGCGACAGCAATAGCGTACTCCGTTTGAAGAAGTCGAACCTCTTATTACTACTCGCTAAAGCTAGCAGAAGTTTAATGTATTCACCGACTGCTCGCGGTCAGACACTTGCTAACGTTTATCCTCGCTTTTACTGCGATAATACCAATGCAGACTTTTGTTGAACAGGTACGCGTCACGATCATCTATTCCTCCGGCAGCGCAGCGTGCTCCACAATGAACAGATGAGCAACTGTAACACAGGCTGCGTAAACGGCGGACAGGACAGCACACACGCGGTCCCAATGCACAGGTGCACACATGAGGTCCCAACTAACCGCATCGATCTCACCAGAGTAGGGATGTCAAACAAATGTAATCAAGTGCATATGCACACAGCATTGCATGTGAATAGCGTACACGAAAGGTTTGATATTGAGAAGATCGATCTCATTATAGGACACTGAGTTCAATCCCAGAAGACGGGCCTCTATTTGATCTAATGACTAGAGTCTACAGTTCTAAAGTCTACACTCACGCTTCCTCGTGCGGATCAAAGAGGCCGTCGTTATCGGCGGTGTGCGTTATCCGAGTCACGTCACAAGTCACGTCACGCTATAATACCACAACTAGGAGTACGGACCGCCTTGGACGGTGTAGAACACCCAGCTAGGCTAGATATTCGACGCTCAACTCACATTTCTGGGTGAGTAGATCGGTGAACACGGCGTTGACTAGCTGGTGTTAGGTTCGTGTGCTAAAATGCAGTCGCTCGGCTCCAAAGCGGGCGGCCATTGTAAAACGGCTCCGACGTGCCAAACCAAACGCTAAACATCACCGTCGAATAGGTACGTAGGACGTAGGTAGGTAAGGTATGCATTCTACATCCTTTGGCTTCAAACGGTCGCTATCCAAGATTCCCAACCGCCCGACAGCCATTACATACTATTCTGGTCCTATTCCGGTTCGTATTATTTTGTCCCGTCTCCTCCCTCATCCTTTCTTTCAGTTCATTCCATCTCAATCCATCCCACCAGCCACCCGTCCCACCCCACCCTCTACCGAGGCGGAAGGGCTGTGCCATCCCACCCCATTCCATCCCTTCCAGCGCCATACCTATGCGCACGGTGCGCCCGGTGCTGGCGGAGATGGGCCGCGCGGTGCGGGCGGTCCGGGCGGTACGCAGGGCCTGCTCCATGGTGCCGGGCCGCGCCGACTGGCTGCCCGGGCGGACCATGCCAGAGATGGGACGGCCCGACTGGCTGGTCGGTCTGCAGAGACATGCCGGGAGAGTGGGGCGACAGTCAATACACTGCTGAACAGGCTAGTCTACACAAGGTCGGCCTAAATCACCCGAACGTGGCTGCCAACTTTGGTCAACATGTCACCAAACCAATTACTACAAATTTTAGCAAGGCTGGTTATGGCTCACCACTCACCAGACCACCAGACCATAAATAAAACGGAACAAAATGGACAGATTGGCTCCGGCACGCGGGAGAAACCTTGACTCTGACGGCCGCTGAGAGCAAAACGCCCACGCCCAGCCGTTCTGGCACGACATAAACAGTGGTTGGCAGGGAAATGAGCGAGCAACAGGGCGGCCAAAACAGCCGCTGACCCGGAGCAAGGCCACGCCCGCTGCAGCTGTGCAGCTGTGCACTAACACTGTGCACGTCAGCACGTGCCGGCTGTTCCCCGCTGAGTCTCACGGAGCGGCTGGGCGCGTGCAACATAACTGTAGGGAGTGTTAACGTATCCAGACACTGATCTGCTCGAGTTCGGGGAAGCCGAAATGCGCTAGGCAGGTGATGATATGAGTCGTTGTGACTGACACTCTCCGCTTCTAGCATTAGTAATGCTCCGACTACGAGATAGTGAGATAGTCAGGAGTAACGCAAGAGTTGGAGGAAATAATGGATACCTACTTCAAATTTGTAAGCCGTGATCTTGTCTCGATGACACCAACACTGAATTGACTGGCACAACTCAAAACACAACGCCACCCTTACCCAACCCAACTCGGCACCGACTCTGATCTCCCCCGGCTGAACTCTGCCTCCGACCCACCGCAGCACTGACCTGAAGGCCTGGCTGGTGCCGCCGCGCTGCGTGCCGGGCGTCTTCAGCGAGGTGCCCGGCCGCGCCACCTGCGCGATGGCGTTGTCGTCCATGACGGTGTCGGCGATGCCGTCCTCGTCAGCCTCGATGTCGTCCATGTAGACCTGCTGCGTCAGCGCGCGCGCCTTCAGAATCCAGGCCGCCTGCCGGGCGGCGCACAGACACGCGTCAGAAGCACCAACTATACGAGAGGGAGACGTGTGACCGGGACGGCATGGGCGAGGTCTGTGTTGGTGTTTTGACACCACGATAATAGCGCATTTATTACACATTAATGTATTAAATTTGCTTCATAATTTGTTTCGCCTTACAAATGTGCAAATTAAGCACCGTAGCTGAACCAGATGAAAGTTGTATCAACCTCCAGATTTTAACCCAAAATGAGATAAGCGAGCGACACTTCAAAGAAAGAACTAATTTTTCTCAGACCCCATAAAAACGCTAGATAAGCGAGGCTACGCTGAACTTTCGTCAGCGATATAAGACTCGTATACTACAGACAAGGTCGGGAATCGTAAGCCTGCGGCACGCTCCCGCTTCCGCTGCAAGCTATGTTGCACACCGTTAACCAAGCGAGCAGGTAATTCAGTGGGCAACATGAAAAGCGGAGTTCTTAACCCGCGCACCGACGGGGGTCTGCGCCAACTTCGCACCGACGGGGGGGGGGGGGCGGATGACCGCCCCCCCCCTGAGATCTCGAGAACGAAGCAAGATAGCGACAAGCGGTAAACGGCATCGGATACGCACGGCCAAGATCTACAATTTTTACTAAGGTCATTTTCAGGTCAGGTCAAAGATGACGTCACAGGGGTCGAAAAAGTCAAAATGGCGGCGCTAGATATGGAGAGAGTTTTTCTCGAATAACTTTCGAATTAATCAAGATAGGAACAAAATAAGGGCATCATCGTGATCCTCTCGTCAATCCGCATCGAATGATATATATGTTGACCTCGAAAGGACAAGGTCAAAGGTTGACCTCAGGTCACGTGACCTCGAGGTCATCATGTATATCATTCGATGCGTCTTGACGAGCTGAACACAATGAGACCATCCACGCGTCTGTATCTTGTTCCTGTACGGAGTTATTGGCCAAAAACCTTTGGTGACCTTTGATGACGTCACATGACCTCACAGCTGCCCAACAGCAAAACAGACCTCAAGGTAGTGAAGGTTGATCGTATATGAAGTCATGTATGGTATATGGGGCCATTCCGACCCGTTTTAGTGGTAAAAACAGGGAGTTGATTTTTCCCCCATTGACTTATAATGAGGAGGTCGCGAAATTGACCTGACCTTAGGTCACCGATATCAAAATTCCGAGATATACAAATTATAGCTACTAATGACCTAATAATATCCAGCGACTTTCAAAGGCCTCCGACATCTACTGTAGCTCTGGCACGGTGACAAAGTTGCAAAAAAGTGACTTGAGATCGGGTCATTCAAAGTGACCTGGTGACCTGACCTTAAAAGGTAGGAGGTTCAAACTTGCACACCATGTGTAAAATTGATGAGGTTATAGTCATACCAAATTTCGCGGCGCGTAGCGCCGCGGTTTTCCCGCTATTCGCGAAAAACCTCAGGGGGGGGGGGGCGGATATCCGCCCCCCCGTCGGTGCGCGGGTTAAACACACGGCTAAACAAGGCACCGACTGATCATTACGCGGAAAGTGGGAAGCTCGTTTACCATAATGAACGCTCCGCAGTGAAGCGTGGGGATAACGCATTATTGAAGAGATAACGGCTATTCTTTTTAGGGTCTGACTATCCAATAAGTAGACCAGACTAGATCAGTAAAGAGGCCCCACCATACTGTGCTATCTGGCCGATGATTGACAGGAGACGGAAGTCCGGGAGACGAGACAGATGGCACTGGCAGTCGAACCTCGGGTCTTCCTGGCCCATGAACTAGCGGCCGCTATAAAAATACCCGACAAAATACACATAATTTTACCGGGGTACGTATGTAATTCGTCAACGCAAGGTACGAAGAAAAAAGACAGTCATCGAAATGCTAAAAAATAATGCTAAAAATAAATCATTTCCAAGAAAAATTATGTAAGCAGACGTAAAATAACTAGTATTGTAAACACTTTTATAAGCCAGATGCTCGTAGCTCAAAAAGTGCAGGCAACACCTCTAGGATGTGAAGCGGGTAGGGCCAGGCACAGTGCATAATACCAGACACCTACATTTACAATACTTTATGTTTGTGTGCCTTGGATTTAAGGTTTGAAAGACTGTCAAGCTGGTGATGTCTGTGCCCATTTTGACAGATCGAGGCTGGCAAGGAGCCTTCATGGACTAGCGCCTTTCTCGCAAAGCTTCAGGCTCTCGCTCGATGCATAGTCACAATTTAATCGTTTTGAGAGAAGCATCTGATAGCGGTAACAACGGCAATACAAGGCGTAGGCACAACTAAAGCACCGCCGTGCTTGTGTAACGAGCCTCTCTCCAGTCCAGAAAACAGCAGCGCCCACGCCAATTAGGCTCACGCACGTAGCCGCCTCATGCGCTCTGCTCAGCACAGCGCGGCGGCCTTGGTGTGCCGTGACCGGTCGGCGAAGGCCCCACCCGACCCGGCCCGGCCAGCTCCTCCACCGTGTCCTGTGCAGTGTGCCGACAAGTACCGACGGCTGCCAATGGCCGGACCCGTGGTATCCGGTTACGCCGCCTCACCGTCTCGGCGGGGCTGTTACCGGAGGTCGGTCGGCGTCAGCCCCCTCCCCGCCCCGCCCCCGCCGCGGCCACAAGTTCAAGTTCAGAGCGGCGCGGCGTGTTGCGCTGGAGCGCGGTGGGAAGGGGGAGGTAGTTACCGTCTCAAGGGTACCGACGGACACAGTATATAACGTGCCACAGAGCCGCCGAAAGGCAGTACAGCTCTGTACAGCTCACAGTCAACATGGCCTACGCTAAGGTAAGAACTCCGACGCGTTAGACACAATTCAAAGACACATTCACCAGTAAATGTTAAAATTATGAAAACATCTGCAACTATCTGTGTAGTACTAACGGACCTAAAAGTAAAGCCATCAAAATGGCAGAAACTAGAAGAGAATAGACCTTGCATAAAACATGTAGCAACATTCCAAAACGAACAAAAAAGCCAGAAGAAATATAAAAAAGATTGCGATTCAGAGCAACTGATAACACAACGCAATAAAGTTGTCGACAAACCATTCATCATGACTGATGATTCGTAAATATGCAAAGGTCAGACCATTTCAAGGAGTAACTTAAATAAATTTCACTCTTCTATGTCACAGGAGTACTCAACTAGTCACAACAAATTACAAAAGAAAAATAAACTAATTAATATTTGAATAATTTTTGGAGTTCGCCTAAACGCTCGCACCCCTCGTGTTTCAGGTGCTGACCGCGTGTGCGCTGGTGGCCGCTGCTAGCGGAGCTCCCAGCACACCCCTGGCCTACGGCCACGGTTACGCCCATGGCTACGCCGCCTCTCCTGCCGCCTACGGCCTCGGCTACGCCGCCGTCGCACCGGCGCCCGTCGACGTGGTGGTCGGACACGCTCCGGTCGCCAAGTCTGTCGAGGTGGTCGACTACGTGAACCCGCACCCCAAGTACGACTTCAGCTACGGCGTCTCGGACGGCTACACGGGCGACCACAAGTCGCAGGTGGAGAGCCGCGACGGTGACGTCGTGCGCGGACAGTACCGGCTCGTCGACCCCGACGGCACCGAGCGCGTCGTCACCTACACCGCCGACGACTACAACGGATTCCAGGCCACCGTCGAGAAGCGCCCTCTCGGCTACACCGCACCCGTGGCTGCCCACGGCTACGCCGCCCCCGTTCCCGCCGTGGCTGCCCACGGCTACGCCGCCGCCGTTCCCACCGTGGCTGCCCACGGCTACGCCGCCGCCGTGCCGGCCGTGGCCGTGCACGCCGCTCCGGTGGCCGTCTCCCACCAGTCGGTCACCAAGTCGGAGGGTTACGATGTGCCCGTCGTCAAGGAGACGGTGCACACGGCGCCCGTCGTGGCCAAGGCGGTGCCGGCCGTCCACGCTGTCCACTCTGTGCACGCCGCGCCGGCCGTGCACTCTGTGCACACCGTGCACGCCGCCCCTGCCGTGCACTCCATCAGCCACGGCTATTAACTAACTCCTGTACTTTCTGTAAAAAATGTACAACTATCCAAAGAACTGTGTTGCCACTGTGAAATGTACAGAGCTGTATGCTCCGTATTTTGATGATCTTCTCTTCTAAATGTTGTGTCGTGTTTAATACATGCCAAGACTGTACCTACTTGATGTTTTAGCTGCTAGCAATCGCGGATGTACAGTAAGCAACTCCCCTTTAATATGCAAAAACCAGCTGCCCAGCCAAACAAACAAATACACAAAAACAGCAAGCAAATAAGGAAATAAAGCACATAACAACCCAGCCAGTAACCCAGCCGTGCTTAAACTGATACAAAACTTCAAGGGAAGCTGCAGACATGATTCTGGAATGGGTGTATACAACACTAATGGAGGGGAATGGTCTGCCTTCAGCCTTCTATTTGCTAAGCCCCGACCCGCGAAGCGGTAAACGATGTTCGAAAGGTATTCAAAAATGATCACATACAAATTACTCGGCCAATTTGGGTCATGTGAGAGCCACTTTATCTGATGCCAAAAGATTGTCAGCATCAAGGGTCACTTTCCCCTCAATAAAAAATGGGCATCATGCAAAATATACCCCTCGTGTCTTAACCCTCGCCGGTATAGGGGGGGGGGGGGGTCGAACGGAACCCCCCATGGTTTTTCGCGAATAACTCGCGTAAAAAGCGGCCGATCGCGACGAAACTTTCAGTACCCTCGCGTTCATCAATTTCACACCTACCCTGAAAATTCCATGACCCTGACCCAAATGACCTTTGACCTGTGACCTACTTTTCGAGACCATGTTTGGCTGGAATCACGATTCGGCGTATGTCGGCTCGCATTAGCCGCGCGTTTGCAGTCTTTTCGTGGTTTCAAGCGTTCAAACATGTGATATGATGTTGCCCCCATGCATTAGGGTGGGTGCCAAGGTCACCTGAAGGTCAGGTCAGGTCATTGACCTTTGATGACCTCGGTTCACTTTTTCGAATTTTACATGTTTCTAGGCCAGTTTTTGGAGCTGAATTCGAATTTAGCAACCATATGAACATTTACGAAGTACTTTTGGTGCCTTCGTAACATGTTACGAAGCTGTCAGAGGCGGTTGCCACCTACTACGAATACCCTTACTGGTTGACCTGACCTGCCCTGACCCGACCTGGCCTAAATACATGAAGACATCATCTGTGATCAAAACTAACATGATATTCGTGATCAGCACCCCGAAAACCCCCATAGCAGCCACACTTTACGACGTTCTAACAGGTCCCGATTTTCCCGCCTTTGGGGTCATTGACCTGACCTGCAAGGTCAACCAATGACCTAGGACCTTAAAATTGGGTATCATCGGCTTCCTCTCGTCACGGGCAACACGCTCGTTTTTTCCGCGAAGCTCTAGCTCGATCAGGGGCGAAACGGCAAGGGGGGGGGGTCCAAGGGACCCCCCTTAGGTATACGTTCGCGGCAGGAAAAACACCAATACGGGCGAGGGTTAAAGCGCGCCTACTACACGTATGTAGACAATGTCAGTCATTGATCAGCCATTATAAATGCATCTCAACGAAGAAAGATGTGGTATCTGCCGTACCTATATTGAAAAACATAGAAAAGGTTGGAAATAAATATAATAAGATAAAACACTTTGTATTTTCACTGTAAATCAAATATCAATCGCCGATAAAAGCTGGAAGCAGCTTCTATTCAACGAATGACCTAACAAAAATTAAAGTCTCTTGGGATTCCCTCGTGGCCCTGCTTCGCAGAATATTGGTATCCATATTCCATCAGCTCTATCTGTATTTGGAGTATCAAAGCCCGGGGTAAAAGCCAAAAATTTCAGAGTGACAAAGCATCATCAACTACTTCAATCGACCGGTGACGGCGAGGAATCATTAACCCATTTACGCCCTTCGTTGCGTTTTCGCAACGCAAGCAAGCGTCGACGTGATCGAAGCTTGAGAAGTGTGTAAAAGAGACTAACCGATGAGACAAGTTTCAGCGTGTGTAGCATGGTTGTGCGCATGATACTACGCAGTTACAAGTCTGTGCGGCCGGTAAGTTACTGCCTAGAGCTCCCAGAGGGAAGTCGAAGGTTTTGTGAGTGATGACGTCACGAAAACCAAGATAAGTAGGCTAAGTGCTTAATAATATCGTAATGAAAATTGTGTAAACATATTCTGCAGAGTCCCTACAATAGCGTAGATATGCATTTTGTTAAGAAATAATGCTACAAAAAGGGTTTGTGACTATTTTCAAATATGACTACGGTCGCGTTGCGGGAACGCAACGAAGGGCACATCGGAAAGACAGCGGTGTTGCGAAAACGCAACGATGGGCACATTGGCAGGGTAGCGGAAGTATGAATATCAACAGTAGACTTCACTCGTGATACGCTGTGGGTTCTCTCTTTCTCTCCCCCATCTTCCTCCCTCTCCTCCTCGTTCCCCAACTCTCTCCCCCTCTCTCTTGCTCTCTCTTTCTTTCTCTCTCTCTCTCTCTCTCTCTCTCTCTCTCTCTCTCTCTCTCTCTCTCTCTCTCTCTCTCTCTCTCTCTCTCTCTCTCTCTCTCTCTCTCTCTCTCTCTCATTTTGTAGCCATGAGGCTTTAGCGGCGAATCATCTTCAATTAAGGGGGGGGAGCACTGCTGACTTTTGGTCTCATTCTTTCCATTTCCATTTCCATGCCACGCCTATCGGGATAATGTTAAAATGGCAAAATCAAGGGGGGCACGGTGCCCCGGTGCCCCCTCCCCCCGCTCCGCCGCCTATGCCATGAGGGACGTATATAGGTATGTTTAGTGCAAGGTGCGTTCGCACGTAAAATGTTGCGACACATTTCATATTTGCTGGCTCAAACAGCCACAAACACTCCTTTCTTTTTCTCTCGCAGATTTTCGACCTCGGGCTGTTCGTTCACTAAGCAATGTGTTCCCATGCATCTGAAAATCGCATGGTAGGAAAAGGACCCATGCATCAAACGGTCGGCGATGCTAACGGAGCTGAGAGATAATTAGGTCCTTTGGAAATTGGATCTACTATGTACGTACATTGTGCATAAATAATGAATAACGGGGATGTATTCTGGTATCAGGCGACAGATAGGCATCGCCATTCTCTGGATAGAATCTGCTGACTACCAGCATTTACGTTAGAAAAGATAACTGAGGGTCGGTAAATAGTGGGATAGTGGGTAATGGTAGTGGGTAATGAGGGCAGACCCATGGGAAAATAATAATTTTTAGGATTCATAACTCGCATAGATTCATAAGCTGCTTGATGTGGAGTATACGCCTGTTTTCTTACTTTGATAGGCTTTTTATCTAATCAGACCATTTTTAGAGCTAGCAGGATTATTGGAATTAGGGGAGACATTTGTCTGACCGGACACGGTCAATCGTAGACTGGAGACTGAGCCCAGCCAGTGGGCAGCCGCCACCCATGACCCACCCCCTTCCCCCCTCCCAAGCACTCACTGCACCCGGCTACAGGCGCGCTCCTATGTGAGCTGCCCGATTGCGATATACGTTGCCGGTCCAGCCCGGAACAGGGGGATGAGGCGTGGAGGAGGATTCAACTATCCTGAAGATGGAAAGGACGGATTGACGTCGAATCACCATTCTGTCCTGGCATTGTCTCGAGAAAGAGGTTACACGTGAAGGTCGCTGAGAGTGGGGCCATGAAAATTTTGGATTAGGTGTAAACATGATAAACTGGGAGTCGATTTGTTGTGATGCGCTACGCCTTACGCGGGTAATTTGTTAGAGCCGGATCGGTCCTTTTTTCTTTTTGCTGAGAGTGGGTACGACTAACCTGCAATGGAATTTAACTTTACTCCTAGGAGGGTGGTTAAAAATGATTGCGGATATACGCGCATACGAGAGGCACTGGTTTACTCCCAATCCTCCGTTTAATTGTATTCAGTGTGCACTGTGCAGGGTCTGATAGGTGGAGGTAATGGATCTGTCTAGCTTCCAAAAAGAAAGCATCACCCTGGATACGTGTCGACCACAACTTTAAATGAACAGCAATGGACAACGTAAATGGTTGATAATGACCGTGTTGCCGTCTCCCCGTTCGCGAATCATGAAGTTATGCTTCCTCACTGAGGCTCTTAGGCGGGTTATAGAGCATGACGGATGTGGGTTCCGCATTTTCAAGCAATAGTTGTCAACAGTTGATTGATGTTTTGTCAAAACATATTAGCATATACGGCAGTTCAGTGTACTTTATGTCCGTCTGATGTGCCCGTCGTTGCGTTTTCGCAACGCTGATGGCGCCCGGTGTGCCCTTCGTTGCGATTTCGCAACGCATGTTTTTTACGTTTTTCTCGAGAAACTTTTGCTGCAGGCAAAAATTATTTTCGATTCCATACAAGGCCCTGGTAGGAGCATAACATATTTTGATTTCGTCGATTTTCATGATGGTCAATATTCCTGGGCATAAATGGGTTAACTGACAGTTTCAGAAAAATGCATAACCGATCCCCTGCATACTGAACTTTTTTAAAGCAATAAAACGCAAGGTCACCGTGATCAACTTTTACACTTTCGTCACGGAATGCACGCCATCCAAAGAATAGCGCATGTTCTCAGTCCTCCCTGATTTCATATGACAGCAATATCATCCCGTTTATTGTAAAACTCTTAACCCGTATTTTTATTCCAATGTTTTCTACACACGTGACACCTGCACCTACCTTTTGTCAGAAAACGTAGGTAAAAGACCAAGCAGAGGCAAAGTCGATCTAAATGACCTAACGTACCTACTCGCATGACGTGTTGGTTTAGAGGTCTGCAGATAAAGAGCAAGCAAGCATCAGGCCACGTCACATCGTTTCGCGCAATATCCAGAGATCTATGTAGGTCTTCTGATTGGGCCACCATCTGATGAGCAAATTTGAGATCCATGGAGTTTGTTGACCTCCCTAGGTCAAACGGCTTAACTGTCACCGAATGGTTTCGGCCACGTTTTCTCTATCTCAAGAGCTCTCTCGCATGCCAGTTTTAATTGGAACCGATCTGCCCCGAACATGGGCTGAATCGGGGTAGAATATGGGGCGTCATTATAGACATTCAAACATTGAGCATGCAAGAGTGCATCATCCCCCCAGAAGATGGCCCCTAACCAACGATTACTTTACAATGTTTCGGTCAAGATATTCCAGTTTTTTTTTTAGAACAGTTCGGCACGTGGTTCGTGCCATATGCATCACATCACCCTGCAAGAGCAGTCGAATTTGAGGTAGAACCAATGGAGTGACCCAGCAAGGAACACTGCTAGCTAATCGATCATACAGTCGTTGTCCGGCAAGAAACGAGCTTCCAAAAACGTGGGCCTTTCATACTCAGAATATCCCCCTTTATCTACGAAACACCTCTTTACCGCTAGAGCGAAGACAGAGCAAATGCAGAATATTTCTTAATCGCCCGGTTTAATATAAGCAGTATTCGTATTTGAACTGCGCCTAGAGGCCCACATACAAATCGGGAAAATATTGAGCACTTTTAACGTATGGGCACTCATAATTAGCAAACTGCAAAGTAAATATTATTTTTTACGTGGTTCCATGCAGCGAAATTACCTAAGGTACAAATACATAGTCCCCAGATAATGTTCAAGTTATTCCCACGTCACCGCGCCCCGGGTCCGGCACTGGAGCCAAGGTCGAGCTGAACGGATACCGTATATAACGAGCCACCGGACGGACAGAAGGCAGTACAGCTCTGTACAGCTCACAGTCAACATGGCCTACGTCAAGGTAAGAACTCCAAGGCGCTAGATAGAAATTCAAAGACACATTCGTCACTAAACATTACAACATGAAAACATCAACAACTATCTGTGCAGCACTAACGAAACTTAAAGCAGTCTTCAAAATGCCAAAAACTATAGGGAAACAGCCCTAGCATAAAGCATGCAGCGAAATTCGAAGATCAAAAGCCAGAAAAAATATTCACGATTCAGGGCAATTCGCGATTCAGGGCAACACTACGGAATATTTGTCAACAAACTTTTCACTATTACTGTTGTTTCGAAAATATGTAAAAGACAGACGATTTGGAGTCATAACTTTGAAAAATTTAACTCTACTTTGTCACAGATGTGATTAACTGGTGACAACAAAGGAAAGATAAAGTATTTAATTTTTGATTCATTTCGGAGTTCGCTAAACGCTCGCACCCCTCGTGTTTCAGGTGCTGACCGCGTGTGCGCTGGTGGCCGCTGCTAGCGGAGCTCCCAGCGCACCCCTGGCCTACGGCCACGGTTACGCCCATGGCTACGCCGCCTCTCCTGCCGCCTACGGCCTCGGCTACGCCGCCGTCGCACCGGCGCCCGTCGACGTGGTGGTCGGCCACGCTCCGGTCGCCAAGTCTGTCGAGGTGGTCGACTACGTGAACCCGCACCCCAAGTACGACTTCAGCTACGGCGTCTCGGACGGCTACACGGGCGACCACAAGTGGCAGGTGGAGAGCCGCGACGGTGACGTCGTGCGCGGACAGTACCGGCTCGTCGACCCCGACGGCACCGAGCGCGTCGTCACCTACACCGCCGACGACTACAACGGATTCCAGGCCACCGTCGAGAAGCGCCCTCTCGGCTACACCGCACCCGTGGCTGCCCACGGCTACGCCGCCCCCGTGCCGGCCGTGGCTGCCCACGGCTACGCCGCCGCCGTTCCCACCGTGGCTGCCCACGGCTACGCCGCCGCCGTTCCCACCGTGGCTGCCCACGGCTACGCCGCCGCTGTTCCGGCCGTGGCTGCCCACGGCTACGCCGCCGCTGTTCCGGCTGTGGCTGCTCACGGCTACGCCGCCGCCGTTCCGGCCGTGGCCGTGCACGCCGCTCCGGTGGCCGTCTCCCACCAGTCGGTCACCAAGTCGAAGGGTTACGATGTGCCCGTCGTCAAGGAGACGGTGCACACGGCTCCCGTCGTGGCCAAGGCGGTGCCGGCCGTTCACGCTGTCCACTCTGTGCACGCCGCGCCGGCCGTGCACTCTGTGCACACCGTGCACGCCGCCCCTGCCGTGCACTCCATCAGCCACGGCTATTAACTAACTCCTGTACTTTCTGTAAAAACTGTACAACTATCCAAAGAACTGTGTTGCCACTGTGAAATGTACAGAGCTGTATGCTCCGTAATTTGATGATCTTCCCTTCTGAATGTTGTGTCGTGTTTAATACATGCCAAGACTGTACCTACTTGATGTTTTAGCTGCTAGCCATCGCGGATGTACAGTAAACAACTCCCATTTAATATGCAAAAACCAGCTACCCAGCCAAACAAACAAATACTCAAAAACAGCTAGCAAATAAGCAAATAGAGCAACTATTAACCCGCGCACCGACGGGGGTCTGCGCCAACTTAGTACCGACGGGGGGGGGGGGGGCGGATGACCGCCCCCCCCTGAGATCTCGAGAACGAAGCAAGATAGCGACAAGCGATAAACGGCATCGGATACGCACGGACAAGGTCTACAATTTTTACTAAGGTCATTTTCAGGTCAGGTCAAAGATGACGTCACAGGGGTCGAAAAAGTCAAAATGGCGGCGCTAGATATGGAGAGGGTTTTTCTCGAATGACTTTCGAAGTAGTCAAGATAGGAACAAACTAAGGGCATCATCGTGATCCTCTCGTCAATCCGCATCGAATGATATATATGTTGACCTCGAAAGGTCAAGGTCAAAGGTTGACCTCAGGTCACGTGACCTCGAGGTCATCATGTATATCATTCGATGCGTCTTGACGAGCTGAACACAATGAGACCATCCGCGCGGCTGTATCTTGTTCCTGTAAGGAGTTATTGGCAAAAAACGTTTGGTGACCTTTGATGACGTCACATGACCTTACAGCTGCCCAACAGCAAAACAGACCTCAAGGTAGTGAAGGTTGATCGTATGTGAAGTCATGTATGGTATATGGGGCCATTCCGACCCGTTTTAGTGGTAAAAACAGGGAGTTGATTTTTCCCCCATTGACTTATAATGGGGAGGTCGCGAAATTGACCTGACCTTAGGTCACCGACATCAAAATTCCGAGATAAACAAATTGTAGCTACTAATGACCTAATAACATCCTGCGACTTTCAAGGGCCTCCGACATCTACTGTAGCTTTGGCACGGTGACAAAGTTGCAAAAAAGTGACTTGAGGTTGGGTCATTCAAAGTGACCTGGTGACCTGACCTTAAAAGTTAGGAGGTTCAAACTTGCACACCATGTGTAAAATTGATGAGAGAATAGTCATACCAAATTTCGCGGCGCTACGCGCCGCGGTTTTCCCGCTATCCGCGAAAAACCTCAGGGGGGGGGGGGGCGGATATCCGCCCCCCCCCGTCGGTGCGCGGGTTAAAAGCCAGTCAGTAAACCAGCGGTGCTTAAACTGATACAAAACTTCAAGGGAAGCTGCAGACATGATTCTGGAATGGGTGTATACAACACTTAGGGAGGGGAATGGTCTGCCTTCAGCCCTCTGTTTGCTAAGCCCCGACCCGCGAAGCGGTAAACGATATTCGAAAGGTCTTCAAAAGTGATCACATACAAATTACTCGGCCAATTTGGGTCATGTAAGAGCCACTTTATCTGATGCCAAAAGATTGTCAGCATCAAGGGTCACTTTTCCTCAATAAAAAATGGGCATTGGGCATCATGCAAAATATACCCCTCGTGTCTTAAAGCGCGCCTACTATGTAGATAATGCCAGCCATTGATCAGCCATTATAAATGCATCTTAACGAAGAAAGATGAGATATCTACCGTACACTGAAAACATAGAAAAGGTTGGAGATAAATATAATAAGATAAAAAAGCTTTGTATTTTCATTGTAAATCAAATATCAAGCGCCGATAAAAGCTGGAAGCAGCTTCTATTCAACGAATGACCTAAACAATTTTTAAAGTCTCTTGGGGATTCCCTCGTGGCCCTGCTTCGCAGAATATCCATCAGCTCTATCTGTATTTGGAGTATCAAAGCTCGGGGTAAAAGCCAAAAATTTCAGAGTGACAAAGCATCATCAACTACTTCAATCGACCAGTGACGGCGAGGAATCATTGCCTGATAGTTTCAGAAAAATGCATAACCGATCCCCTGCATTCTTAACTTTTTTAAAGTGATAGGTAAGGCGCAAGGTCAACGTGATCAACTTTTGCACTTTCGTTACGGAATGCACGTCATCCTGAGAATAGCGCATGTCCTCTGTACTCGCTGATTTCATCTGACAGCCATATCATCCCGTTTATTGTAAAACTCTTAACCCTTATTTTTATTCCGATGTTTTCTACACACGTGACACACCTGTACCTACCTTTTGTCAGAAAACGTAGGCAAAAAAAAAAAAAAAAAAAAAACAAGCAGAGGCAAAGTCAATCTAAATGACCTAAGGTACTCGAGTGTTGGTTTAGAGGTCTGCAGATAAAGAGCAAGCAAGCATCAGGCCACGTCACATCGTTTCGCGCAATATCCAGACTCCAGAGATCTATCTAGGTCTACTGATTGGGCCACCATCTGATCAGCAAATTTGAGATCCATGGAGTTTGTTGACCTCCCTAGGTCAAACGGCTTAACTGTCACCGAATGGTTTCGGCCACGTTTTCTCTATCTCAAGAGCTCTCTCGCGTGCCAGTTTTAATTGGAACCGATCTGCCCCGAACATGGGCTGAATCGGGGTAGAATATGGGGCGTCATTATAGACATTCAAACATTGAGCATGCAAGAGTGCATCATCCCCCCAGAAGATGGCCCCTAACCAACGATTACTTTACAATGTTTCGGTCAAGATATTCCAGTTTTTTTTAGAACAATTCGGCACGTGGTTCGTGCCATATGCATCACATCACCCTACAAGAGCAGTCGAATTTGAGGTAGAACCAATGGAGTGACCCAGCAAGGAACACTGCTAGCTAATCGATCATACAGTCGTTGTCCGGCAAGAAACGAGCTTCCAAAAACGTGGGCCTTTCATACTCAGAATATCCCCCTTTATCTACGAAACACCTCTTTACCGCTAGAGCGAAGACAGAGCAAATGCAGAATATTTCTTAATCGCTCGGTTTAATATAAGCAGTATTCGTATTTGAACTGCGCCTAGAGGCCCACATACAAATCGGGAAAATATTGAGCACTTTTAACGTATGGGCACTCATAATTAGCAAACTGCAAAGTAAATATTATTTTTTTTACGTGGTTCCATGCAGCGAAATTACCTAAGGTACAAATACATAGTCCCCAGATAATGTTCAAGTTATTCCCACGTCACCGCGCCCCGGCCCGGCACTGGAGCCAAGGTCGAGCTGAGCGGATACCGTATATAACGAGCCACCGGACGGACAGAAGGCAGTACAGCTCTGTACAGCTCACAGTCAACATGGCCTACGTCAAGGTAAGAACTCCAAGGCGCTAGATAGAAATTCAAAGACACATTCGTCACTAAACATTACAACATGAAAACATCAACAACTATCTGTGCAGCACTAACGGAACTTAAAGCAGTCTTCAAAATGCCAAAAACTATAGGGAAACAGCCCTAGCATAAAGCATGCAGCGAAATTCGAAGAACAAAAGCCAGAAAAAATATTCGCGATTCAGGGCAATTCGCGATTCAGGGCAACACTACGGAATATTTGTCAACAAACTTTTCACTATTACTGTTGTTTCGAAAATATGTAAAAGACAGACGATTTGGAGTCATAACTTTGAAAAATTTAACTCTACTTTGTCACAGATGTGATTAACTGGTGACAACAAAGGAAAGATAAAGTATTTAATTTTTGATTCATTTCGGAGTTCGCTAAACGCTCGCACCCCTCGTGTTTCAGGTGCTGACCGCGTGTGCGCTGGTGGCCGCTGCTAGCGGAGCTCCCAGCACACCCCTGGCCTACGGCCACGGTTACGCCCATGGCTACGCCGCCTCTCCTGCCGCCTACGGCCTCGGCTACGCCGCCGTCGCACCGGCGCCCGTCGACGTGGTGGTCGGCCACGCTCCGGTCGCCAAGTCTGTCGAGGTGGTCGACTACGTGAACCCGCACCCCAAGTACGACTTCAGCTACGGCGTCTGGGACGGCTACACGGGCGACCACAAGTCGCAGGTGGAGAGCCGCGACGGTGACGTCGTGCGCGGACAGTACCGGCTCGTCGACCCCGACGGCACCGAGCGCGTCGTCACCTACACCGCCGACGACTACAACGGATTCCAGGCCACCGTCGAGAAGCGCCCTCTCGGCTACACCGCACCCGTGGCTGCCCACGGCTACGCCGCCCCCGTGCCGGCCGTGGCTGCCCACGGCTACGCCGCCGCCGTTCCCACCGTGGCTGCCCACGGCTACGCCGCCGCCGTGCCGGCCGTGGCCGTGCACGCCGCTCCGGTGGCCGTCTCCCACCAGTCAGTCACCAAGTCGGAGGGTTACGATGTGCCCGTCGTCAAGGAGACGGTGCACACGGCTCCCGTCGTGGCCAAGGCGGTGCCGGCCGTCCACGCTGTCCACTCCGTGCACGCCGCGCCGGCCGTGCACTCTGTGCACACCGTGCACGCCGCCCCTGCCGTGCACTCCATCAGCCACGGCTATTAACTAACTCATATACTTTCTGTAAAAACTATACAACTATCCAAAGAACTGTGTTGCCACTGTGAAATGTACAGAGCTGTATGCTCCGTAATTTGATGATCTTTCCTTCTGAATGTTGTGTCGTGTTTAATACATGCCAAGACTGTACCTACTTGATGTTTTGGTTGCTAGCAATCGCGGAAGTACAGTAAGCAACTCCCCTTTAATATGCAAAAACCAGCTGCCCAGCCAAACAAACAAATACACAAAAACAGCAAGCAAATAAGGAAATAAAGCACATAAAAAACAGTCAGTAACCCAGCCGTGCTTAAACTGATACAAAACTTCAAGGGAAGCTGCCGACATGATTCTGGAATGGGTGTATATATAACACTAATGGAGGGGAATGGTCTGCCTTCAGCCTTCTATTTGCTAAGCCCCGACCCGCGAAGCGGTAAACGATATTCGAAAGGTCTTCAAAAGTGATCACATACAAATTACTCGGCCAATTTGGGTCATGTAAGAGCCACTTTATCTGATGCCAAAAGATTGTCAGCATCAAGGGTCACTTTCCCCTCAATAAAAAATGGGCATTGGGCATCATGCAAAATATACCCCTCGTGTCTTAAAGCGCGCCTACTACACGTATGTAGACAATGTCAGTCATTGATCAGCCATTATAAATGCATCTCAACGAAGAAAGATGTGGTATCTGCCGCACCTATATTGAAAAACATAGAAAAGGTTGGAAATAAATATAATAAGATAAAACACTTTGTATTTTCACTAGTGTAAATCAAATATCAAGCGCCGATAAAGCTGGAAGTAGCTTCTATTCAACGAATGACCTAAAAAAATTAAAGTCTCTTGGGATTCCCTCGTGGCCCTGCTTCGCAGAATATTGGTATCCATATTCCATCAGCTCTATCTGTATTTGGAGCATCAAAGCCCGGGGTAAAAGCCAAAAATTTCAGAGTGACAAAGCATCATCAACTACTTCAATCGACCGGTGACGGCGAGGAATCATTGCCGGACAGTTTCAGAAAAATGCATAACCGATCCCCTGCATACTGAACTTTTTAAAGCGATAAAACGCAAGGTCACCGTGATCAACTTTTACACTTTCGTCACGGAATGCACGCCATCCAAAGAATAGCGCATGTTCTCAGTCCTCCCTGATTTCATCTGACAGCAATATCATCCCGTTTATTGTAAAACTCTTAACCCGTATTTTTATTCCAATGTTTTCTACACACGTGACACCTGCACCTACCTTTTGTCAGAAAACGTAGGTAAAAGACCAAGCAGAGGCAAAGTCGATCTATATGACCTAACGTACAGCCCACCGCTAAAGTAATGTAGGGTTTTACCAATCTCAACGATTGGCTTTAACTGGCGATTGTGCGGAGTGATCGAAAAGAAGATGTCAATAGCTAAAGTTGCAGCTGCAAGGGTGATGATACATAATATATAAGCCACATTCAAAGTTTCATTGTAGTCTGGCTAATCGTTCCAAGCTTCAGAAGCAGAACATACCCATGACTGAAACCCCACATTACTTCTGCTGTGGACTGTACCTACTCGCATGACGTGTTGGTTTAGAGCACTGGCGGATCCAGGCTTGCGTTTTTTTTTTGGGGGGGGGGGGGGGCAACTCATGCAGGAGCCAAACCTAGGGTACCCCCAAATCCTGTTTTCTCATCGGATTTAGGCCACTTATTTTTCGTCACAGCCCTGACACTATGATTTTTTTTTTAACTAAAAAGAAAAATATATAAATGGTAGCCCACCCGACCCATGCCTTTATATTACTTTGTAAACACTTACCATTGTTTTTATCGACCAGTTAAAGGGACCCTCCCACCTTAACATTAGATTTGAGCTGAGATAGCCAAAATGGGGTCCCTGGCTCAAAATTACCGGTTTCGGCACGCACTCACAACATCGAGAAATGCCTTAAATCGGAAATATTGAGTTTCAAAATTGCAGCATTTTTATTCAGAGGGGCTAATGCTTTTGGATACCCCTCTGAATGTGTGACGTCAGCGGAGATCTAATGATTTTTTAATATTTTACTAAAACGTTTGGTAGCATGCGGTGGTATAGGCTGCTTTGCGCGCAACAAATGCCGCACTTTCAAATAAAGTCGCTAGGAACAGCAGCGGATATCCCAAAAAGTAAACAAAAATAAAAGTCTAATCTCTTGAAAACCGGTGAATATTTTTCGATAAAATTTGGTAGATATTCGTTTTCGCCCTTTCTGAACCTAGCGACATCACTTTCATGCCAATTCATTAACTTTTTTGAAGGTGGGAGGGTCTCTTTAACCCGCTTCGAGTCAGTGCTTGGGTCCCTTTGCGGGCCGAGAGGTGGTAAAACAGCCCTGTCTAACTCGGCTCCTGGGCCACGCCCTGATTGAACTATGTTTCATTATCGTTTGGGGGATGGGAAAACGGGCCACTTTAGGCCTCTGGGAAGGGGACATGGCCCTAAATGCCCCCTCCCTGGATCCGCCAGTGTAAGAAGAGACCATTGGAGCTGCAGTTGGGTACCTCAGACATCAGGGTACGCCCTCAGATGTATGTATAGGACTCGCATGGAGACCTCTTATGCTATAGTGTACTGAAAGGACCCAAAGGAGCCTGTCTATATGGGCTCCCGGAGATAGACGTGGGCCCTCAGGAGCCCGCCAGAGCCCCAATGAGGGATAAGTGAGGGATACCAAGTGCCTGCAATTGCATATTGCATAAGCCATAACGCCTTTACAAATCAATATATTATGCATCAGTGGCAACTGGCAGATCCAAGGGGGGCCACATGGGTCATGACCCCCTTGGTGCCCGGGGGCACCACAGGCCTGTCAGGGGCACCACCGGCCTAGTAGGGGCACCACAGGCCTTACAGGGGCACCACCGGCCTTGCAGGGGCACCACAGTCCTGTCAGGGCCCAGGGGCACCAGCGGCCTAGCAGGGGCACCACAGGCCTGCCAGGGGCACCACCGGTCTAGCAGGGGCACCATGGGCCTGTCAGGGGCCCCACCGGCCTCGCAGGGGGCACCACCGGCCTCGCAGGCATCACGGCATCACGCAGGGGCACCTTGGGCCTGTCGGGGGCATCACGGGCCTGTTGGGGGCACTTTAGGCTTGTCAGGGGCACCACAGTCCTGTCAGGTCCCAGGGGCATCAGCAGCCTAGTAGGGGCACCCTAGGCCCGCCAGAGGTACAGCCCACCGCTAAAGTAATGTAGGGTTTTACCAAACTCAACGGTTGGCTTTGACTGGCGATTGTTTAATGCGAAGTGATTGAAAAGAAGATGTCAATAGCTAAAGTTGCAGCTGCAAGGGTGACGATACATATAAGCTACATTCAAAGTTTCATTGTAGTCTGGCTAATCGTTCCTAAGCTTCAGAAGCAGAACATACCCATGACTGAAACCCCACATTACTTCTGCTGTGGACTGTACCACAGGCCTGCCAGGGTCCAGGGGCACCACAGGCCTAGCAAGGGCACCACGGGCCTGTCAGGGGCACCTCAGGCTCCCGTGCCCCCCCCCCCCCTCAGATCCGCCAGTGATGCCACACCACGCGAAACACCGCCAACTACCAGCTGCCGCGCCATAAACACGTGCCAACAACAGTCTTTTTTTAAGGTCGACTCCGCTCGCGCAACTTTTGACTGACCCTCACTGCTACTATATTGCTTCTATATTATGCTGTGAAAAGCTTTACTTCACAAAGTGGCTAAAAACCTCCATCAAGGTATATTTTCTTAGCAATTTTTCTGGCGTTTGGGGGGGGGGGCAAACAGGCCACTTTAGGCCTTTGGGGGGGGGGGGCATGGCCCCCGTGGCCCCCCCCCCTGGATCCGCCAGTGGTTTAGAGGTCTGCAGATAAAGAGCAAGGAAGCATCAGGCCACGTCACATCGTTTCGCGCAATATCCAGAGATCTATGTAGGTCTACTGGTTCGGCCAGCATCTGATGAGCAAATTTGAGATCCATGGAGTTTGTTGACCTCCCTAGGTCAAACGACTTAACTGTCACCAAATGGTTTCGGCCACGTTTTCTCTATCTCAAGAGCTCTCTCGCGTGCCAGTTTTAATTGGAGCCGAGCTGCCCCGAATATGGGCTGAATCGGGATAGAATATGGGGCGTCCTTATAGACATTCAAACATTGAGCATGCGAGAGTGCATCCCCCAGAAGATGGCCGCTGACCAACAATTACTTTACAATGTTTCGGTCAAGATATTCCAGTTTTTTTTTTTAGAGCAATTTCGGCACGTTGTTCGTGTCATATGTATCATATAGACCCTGCAAGAGCAGTCGAATTTGAGGTAGAACCAATGGAGTGACCCAGCAAGGAACACTGCTAGCTATTCGATCATACAGTCGTTGTCCGGCAAGAAACGAGTTTCCAAGAGCGTGGGCATTTATAATCAGAATATCCCCTTTATCTACCAAACACCTCTTTACCGCTAGAGCGAAGACAGAGCAAATGCAGAATATTTCTTAATCGCTCGGTTTAATATGAGCAGTATTCGTATTTGAACTGCGCCCAGAGGACCACATACAAATCGGGAAAATATTGAGCACTTTTAACGTATGGGCACTCATAATTAGCAAACTGCGAAGTAAGCATTAATTTTTACGTTGTTCTATGCAACACAATTACCCAAGGCACAAATAGTTTCTAGATAATGTTCAAGTCATTCCCACGTCACCGCGCCCCGGGTCCGGCACTGGAGCCAAGGTCGAGCTGAACGGACACAGTATATAACGAGCCACCGGACGGCCAGAAGGCAGTACAGCTCTGTACAGCTCACAGTCAACATGGCCTACGTCAAGGTAAGAACTCCAAGGCGCTAGATAGAAATTCAAAGACCCATTCGTCACTAAACATTACAATCATGAAAACATCAACAACTATCTGTGCAGCACTAACGGAACTTCAAGCAGTCATCAAAATGCCAAAAACTAGGGGAAACAGCCCTAGCATAAAGCATGCAGCGAAATTCGAAGAAGAACAAAAAGCCAGAAAAAATATTCGCGATTCAGGGCAATTAGCGATTCAGGGCAACACTACGGAAGACTTGTCAACAAACTTTTCACTATTACTGTTGTTTCGAAAATATGTAAAAGACGATTTTGAGGCATAACTTTGAAAAATTTAACTCTACTTTGGCAGATGTGATTAACTAGTGACAACAAAGGAAAGATAAAGTATTCAATTTTTGATTCATTTCGGAGTTCGCTAAACGCTCGCACCCCTCGTGTTTCAGGTGCTGACCGCGTGTGCGCTGGTGGCCGCTGCTAGCGGAGCTCCCAGCGCACCCCTGGCCTACGGCCACGGTTACGCCCATGGCTACGCCGCCTCTCCTGCCGCCTACGGCCTCGGCTACGCCGCCGTCGCACCGGCGCCCGTCGACGTGGTGGTCGGCCACGCTCCGGTCGCCAAGTCTGTCGAGGTGGTCGACTACGTGAACCCGCACCCCAAGTACGACTTCAGCTACGGCGTCTCGGACGGCTACACGGGCGACCACAAGTCGCAGGTGGAGAGCCGCGACGGTGACGTCGTGCGCGGACAGTACCGGCTCGTCGACCCCGACGGCACCGAGCGCGTCGTCACCTACACCGCCGACGACTACAACGGATTCCAGGCCACCGTCGAGAAGCGCCCTCTCGGCTACACCGCACCCGTGGCTGCCCACGGCTACGCCGCCCCCGTGCCGGCCGTGGCTGCCCACGGCTACGCCGCCGCTGTTCCGGCCGTGGCTGCCCATGGCTACGCCGCCCCCGTGCCGGCCGTGGCTGCCCACGGCTACGCCGCCGCCGTGCCGGCCGTGGCCGTGCACGCCGCTCCGGTGGCCGTGTCCCACCAGTCGGTCACCAAGTCGGAGGGTTACGATGTGCCCGTCGTCAAGGAGACGGTGCACACGGCGCCCGTCGTGGCCAAGGCGGTGCCGGCCGTCCACGCTGTCCACTCCGTGCACGCCGCGCCGGCCGTGCACTCTGTGCACACCGTGCACGCCGCCCCTGCCGTGCACTCCATCAGCCACGGCTATTAACTAACTCCTGTACTTTCTGTAAAAACTGTACAACTATCCAAAGAACTGTGTTGCCGGCTGCCACTGTGAAATGTACAGAGCTGTATACTGTGAATACTTCAATGATCTTCCCTTCTGAATGCTGTGTCGTGTTTAATACATGCCAATACTGTATCTACTTGATGTGTGGTGCCCCCCAGTCACCGATATGTGGTGAACAGCCCCACAGCACCACAGATGTTTTAGCTGCTAGGCATGGCGTTCAGTTAAAGGGACCCTCCCACCTTAAAAAAAAGTTAATGAATTGGCATGGAAATGATGTCGCTCGGTTCAGAAAGAGTGAAAACGAATATACCAAATTTCATCGAAAAATATTCACCGGTTTTCAAGATATTAGACTTTTACTTTTGTTTACTTTTTGGGATCTCCGCTGTTCCTAGCAACTTTATTTGAAATTGCGACACTTGTTGCGCGCAAAGCAGCATACACCACCGCGTGCTACCAAACGTTTTAGTAAAAGATTTAAAATCGTTAGATCTGCAATGACGTCACATATTCAAAGGGGGCATTCTAATGCATTAGCCCCTCTGAATCCAAGTGCTGCAACTTTGAAATTAGATATTTTCGATTTGAGGCATTTCTCGATCTTGTGAGTGCTCAAACCGGTAAGTGCAGGCCTGGGACCCCATTTTGGCTATCTCAACTCAAAACTAATGTTAACCCTCGCCCGTATTGGTGTTTTTTCCAGCCGTGAACGTATAAGGGGGGGGGGGGGTCCGTTGGACCCCCCTTGCCGTTTCGCCCCTGATCGAGCTAGAGCTTCGCGGAAAGAACGAGCGTGTTGCCCGTGACGAGAGAAAGCCGATGATACCCAATTTTAAGGTCCTAGGTCATTGGTTGACCTTGCAGGTCAGGTCAATGACCCCAAAGGCGGGAAAATCGGGACCTGTTAGAACGTCGTAAAGTGTGGCTGCTATGAGGGTTTTCGGGGTGCTGATCACGAATATCATGTTAGTTTTGATCACAGATGATGTCTTCATGTATTTAGGCCAGGTCGGGTCAGGTCAGGTCAGGTCAACCAGTAAGGGTATTCGTAGTAGGTGGCAACCGCCTCTGACAGCTTCGTAACATGTTACAAAGGCACCAAAACTACTTCGTAAATGTTTATATCGTTGCTAAATTCGAATTCAGCTCCAAAAACTGGCCTAGAAACATGTAAAACTCGAAAAAGTGAACCGAGGTCATCAAAGGTCAATGACCTGACCTGACCTTCAGGTGACCTTGACACCCACCCTAATGCATGGGGGCAACATCATATCACATGTTTGAACGCTTGAAACCACGAAAAGACTGCAAACGCGCGGCTAATGCGAGCCGACATACGCCGAATCGCGATTCCAGCCAAACATGGTCTCGAAAAGTAGGTCACAGGTCAAAGGTCATTTGGGTCAGGGTCATGAAATTTTCAGGGTAGGTGTGAAATTGATGAACGCGAGGGTACTGAAAGTTTCGTCGCGATCGGCCGCTTTTTACGCGAGTTATTCGCGAAAAACCATGGGGGGGGTCCGTTCGACCCCCCCCCCCCCCTATACGGGCAAAAGGGCAGATGTGATATTAAAGGGACCCTCCCACCTTCAAAAAAGTTTATGAATTGGCATGAAAGTGATGTCGTTCGGTTCAGAAAGAGCGAAAACGAACATCTACCAAATTTCAACGAAAAATATTCACCGGTTTTCAAGATATTAGACTTTTCCTTTTGCTTACTTTTTGGGATCTCCGCTGTTCCTAGCGACTTTATTTGGAAGCAATAGTTTGGCGGCTGAAAGTGCGGCATTTGTTGCGCGCAAAGCAGCATATACCACCGCGTGCTAAAAAACGTTTTAGTCAAACATTTAAAAATCGTTAGATATCTGCGCTGACGTCACACATTCAGAGGGGTATTCCTATGCATTAGCCACTCTGAATCAAAATGCTGCAATTTTGAAATTCAATATTTCCGATTTAAGGCATTTCTCGATGTTGTGAGTGCCGAAACCGGTACCTAATTGTGAGCCAGGGACCCCATTTTGGCCATCTCAACTCAAATCTAATGTTAAGGTGGGAGGGTCCCTTTAATGACCTTAGATCATTGCGCAATCTTGAGATGTAGGAATATGATAGTTGAAAAGTAGCTTCTGGTCATGACGATTCGTTGTATGCTATTTTTAGAGCTATATGCGAACGCTCGGGGTCAAAGTGCTGAAATACCAAGAATGCTTTAGGCCACATATTCTCTAACCCAAGGACTCTGTTGTGAACGAGTATGAAGTCAATCCGATGTGTTCCGAATCTCGAGTAAATGCGGGCTGAATATGGGCTGTCTCGATGGACACCCAAACATTGATAAATGAAAATGTTTCACCCGATAGATGATTGTTAACCGGCAAAAAAGCTTGGCCAAGCTGGCCAAGCTTCGGGCCATATGTTCCAAAATTGTTGCAAGCAGAACAATTTTAATCTCTTTGATTTCGCAAATGGCTCGTAGTTCGTACCACTATCATTGATTACAAAGCCTTATCAAGAGCTAGACATTACAAGGTAGGAACGTTTTTCGGCTACTAGTCGTTTATTGTTTTTGTTTCGAATTCTCGACCTTCGCATCGAGGTCGTTGTCAAGAAAAATATAACCAATATGTTTATATGTTTATATGTTTCTTGACAACGACCTCGATGCGAAGGTTGAAAATTCGAAACGAAAACAATAAACGACTAGTAGCCGAAAAACGTTCCTACCTTATCAAGAACAGCCATATTTGACGTATAGGCGATGGAGCAATGCAGCATTTGGGACTGCTAGCCAATCGTTCTTACAGTCACTGACTGGTGACTGGTGAGGGAAAAAAGCGTGGACCGTTCATACTCAGATTTTCCTGTTTAAATACGAACTGCATTTGACATATGAATGGAGAATTTTCTTTAAATCACTCTGAAAACGTGATTTTAAACTTTTCTCATTACAATTTTAAAATCATAGTTAAAAAAATGTAGAAAAGAGTAGAGACTAAACACTCAGAAAAACCCAAACAAAATGAAAGAAGATGAAAAGTGAACAATCATCTATGTACACTATTTAAGTGCTTCTCTGTTCCGATAACGTGACTTCATCCACACAGCTTAAAAGATTAAACGCAGAACGCTGATGGTAAAATGTCTAGCGGTATACCAGACTGGCTAGGAGGTCCTTCGGTCGGTTCATTTTCGCTAAAAAGGGAAATGTTAGCGAATAGGGTTCGAGTACCATGTAGGTAAACACTCATAAACCAGTAAACTATTTATCAATTTTCACTTTGCTGCAACCAGATATATGGCGCCTTGCAATTAACTTACAAATATACGGATAGAAACCAGATAATGTTCAATGCATTCCCACGTCACCGCGCCCGGGTGCCCAAACCGGTAAGTGCGAGCCAGGGACCCCAATTGTGCTATCTCAACTCAAAACCAATGTTCATGTGGGATGGTCGCATTAATATGAGCATTGTTCGCATTTGAACTGCGCCTAGTAGCCCAAAAACAAATCCGGAGGAATGTTGAACACTTTTAACGTATAGGCATTCATTAATTAGCAAGCTGAAAAGTAAACATTAATTTTTATGTGATTCCATGCAACGAAACTACCTAAGATACAAATAGATTCTAGATAATGTTCAAGTCATTCCCACGTCACCGCGCCCCGGCCCGGCACTGGAGCCAAGGTCGAGCTGAACGGATACCGTATATAACGAGCCACCGGACGGACAGAAGGCAGTACAGCTCTGTACAGCTCACAGTCAACATGGCCTACGTCAAGGTAAGACAGCTTCACGAACGTTTTACAGGAGATATGCATTCAAAGGGTGTTACGGAAAATCCGTTGAAGGAAACGCTGTTTATGAATACTTAAGCCCGAAGAATAATACCTTGGAAAAGCACTGGTGCACAACAGCCCATAACCGGCACATCAGAGTAAACCTTCGGGGGTCGATTTCAGCGTCTTGTCTGTTTATGTTTCAGGTGCTGACCGCGTGTGCGCTGGTGGCCGCTGCTAGCGGAGCTCCCAGCACACCCCTGGCCTACGGCCACGGTTACGCCCATGGCTACGCCGCCTCTCCTGCCGCCTACGGCCTCGGCTACGCCGCCGTCGCACCGGCGCCCGTCGACGTGGTGGTCGGCCACGCTCCGGTCGCCAAGCCTATCGAGGTGGTCGACTACGTGAACCCGCACCCCAAGTACGACTTCAGCTACGGCGTCTCGGACGGCTACACGGGCGACCACAAGTCGCAGGTGGAGAGCCGCGACGGTGACGTCGTGCGCGGACAGTACCGTCTCGTCGACCCCGACGGCACCGAGCGCGTCGTCACCTACACCGCCGACGACTACAACGGATTCCAGGCCACCGTCGAGAAGCGCCCTCTCGGCTACACCGCACCCGTGGCTGCCCACGGCTACGCTGCCGCCGTTCCGGCCGTGGCTGCCCACGGCTACGCCGCCGCTGTTCCGGCTGTGGCTGCCCATGGCTACGCCGCCCCCGTTCCGGCCGTGGCTGCCCATGGCTACGCCGCCGCCGTTCCGGCCGTGGCTGCCCATGGCTACGCCGCCGCCGTGCCGGCCGTGGCCGTGCACGCCGCTCCGGTGGCCGTCTCCCACCAGTCGGTCACCAAGTCGGAGGGTTACGATGTGCCCGTCGTCAAGGAGACGGTGCACACGGCGCCCGTCGTGGCCAAGGCGGCGCCGGCCGTCCACGCTGTCCACTCTGTGCACGCCGCGCCGGCCGTGCACTCTGTGCACACCGTGCACGCCGCCCCTGCCGTGCACTCCATCAGCCACGGCTATTAAACAACTCCTGTACTTTCTGTAAAAAATGTACAACTATCCAAAGAAACTGTGTTGCCACTGTGAAATGTACAGAGCTGTATGCTCCGTAATTTGATGATCTTCCCTTCTGAATGTTGTGTCGTGTTTAATACATGCCAAGACTGTACCAACTTGATGTTTTAGTTGCTAGCAATCGCGGATGTACAGTAAGCAACTCCCCTTTAACCCGCGCGGGGCTGGGGGGGGGGGTAAATTTTACCCCCCCTCGCGAATTTTTGCGATATCTCAAAAACGGCGGCGCGCAGCGCCGCCAAACTTTCAGTACCTTTTCTTACATCAATTTGACACCTTCCCTGAAAATTTGAGCGAAATCCGTCGGAAAATTTTTGAGAAATTGACGTTTTAGTGTCGTCATGTTCGCCATTTTCGCCTAAAAAACGGCAAAAGTTCAAACGCCGCTAACATCTTCATTTTTAAAGGAATCAAGACGTAACAAAAAAGGTTATACGTAATTTTACTTTGTCTATCAAATGGCTATCTCGGTTTTTTGAAAATTTTGGATTTGGGCCTAATTTTTTTTTCAAAAAACTGATTTTTTTTGGAAAAATCATTATAAAATCCAAAATTTTGAGTCTATCGAAAAACCGGAATATATGTCAGAGAAGTGGTCTATGTGCACCTACATACCAAATTTTAGAAGAATCGGTTCAAAAATGTGGGAGTTATTCAAAATTTTATGACGTCACGACACACAAAATGTTTGAAAAATGACTTTTTTGGAAGTTCTAGACCTCGTACGGAAACAAAAGTAGCACCATTCGATTCGCCGTGAAAAACTGCATCAGATAGACACCTTTTTAGGCCTTAACAACCAACTTCAAAATTTGACCTCACTTGACCTGACCTTGACCTGACCTCGACCTGAAATTCATCCAGAGGTGGTCCATATCACTTATTGAGTGTGCCTATTGAATTCTATGAGTAAAATGACCCATAAAACATGTGTCGCACATGCCCTTTTCTATATTTTGTTTTTTGGTGACCTGACCTGACCTGACCTTGACCTTGACCTCTGAATGATATTGTATGCAATTAATATTGTCTTGGTAGCCTAAGAACACGTTTTGGGCGATCAGTCTCAGTCCATGACTCCATTCTTCGGCAACTACGGTGCAAGGCCGATACTGTAGAAACTTGCAATTTGTACCCTTGACCTGACCTTGACCTTGACCTCAAACTTTAAATTAAGTACATGTTTTTAGTAGTTCGTGATGAGAGCTTTCGATTGGCGTTTGAATTTTCCAAATCGGACCCTTAGTTCGGGAGATAACAGGGGGGGGGGGTAAAATTTACCCCCCCCCCCCCCAGCCCCGCGCGTTCGGCTGGAGACCCCAGCCCCGCGCGGGTTAATATGCAAAAACCAGCTGCCCAGCCAAACAAACAAATACACAAAAACAGCAAGCAAATAAGGAAATAAAGTACATAAAAAAACAGTCAGTAACCCAGCCGTGCTTAAACTGATACAAAACTTCAAGGGAAGCCGCAGACATGATTCTGGAATGGGAATATATGTTACAGGCAATGTGTGGAATCACGCATTCTATAGAATGCCTAGGCATTCTATAGAATGCCTGACCGACCAGGCATTCTATAGAATCCCTAGGTATTCTATAGAATGCCTGACCCACCAGGGATTCTATAGAATCCCTAGGCATTCTATAGAATGCCTGATTTTCAGGCATTCTATAGAATGCCTAGGAAATACACGAATCTTTCCAACATATTAGTGTATGTAGATATAAAACTTTATCGGAATTCACTGGGATTGTATTGCGTATGCAAGTCCATACGCAATACGTATCCATTGCGTATGGACTTGCATACGCAATGCAATCCCAGTGAATTCCGATAAAGTTTTATATCTACAAACATAACTGGGAAAAATATGACTCTAAAACAGCACATATTAGTGTATGTTGTATAAGATTATGTGCACAGACCGACATGTAACATTATTATTTTCTGCCAGGCTACCTTGCGGTCAGCTATTTATGTTCATTCAGTCAAATGTTCATTCAGTCATTCATTGTCATTCAGTCAAATTTTCCGGTCAGGTATTCAATCTGACCTTATTAGGTCGAATTGTATCAGGATTTCATTCTGAGAGTACATACAGAGTATTTATCTTAACGCTAGAAAGACGATGATGGTAATGTCAATATCGGAAAGGCCTTTGGAAAAAAAATTACACAGAAAAAAAATTGACAAATCGTCCATTTTTGGAGGTGTTTGCCTTCTAAGGAATTGATTTAACCCGCGCACCGACGGGGGTCTGCGCCAGCCCCCCTGAGATCTCGAGAACGAAGCAAGATAGCGACAAGCGGTAAACGGCATCGGATACGCACGGCCAAGATCTACAATTTTTACTAAGGTCATTTTCAGGTCAGGTCAAAGATGACGTCACAGGGGTCGAAAAAGTCAAAATGGCGGCGCTAGATATGGAGAGAGTTTTTCTCGAATAACTTTCGAATTAGTCAAGATAGGAACAAACTAAGGACATCATCGTGATCCTCTCGTCAATCCGCATCGAATGATATATATGTTGACCTCGAAAGGTCAAGGTCAAAGGTTGACCTCAGGTCACGTGACCTCGAGGTCATCATGTATATCATTCGATGCGTCTTGACGAGCTGAACACAATGAGACCATCCACGCGTCTGTATCTTGTTCCTGTACGGAGTTATTGGCCAAAAACCTTTGGTGACCTTTGATGACGTCACATGACCTCACAGCTGCCCAACAGCAAAACAGACCTCAAGGTAGTGAAGGTTGATCGTATATGAAGTCATGTATGGTATATGGGGCCATTTCGACCCGTTTTAGTGGTAAAAACAGGGAGTTGATTTTTCCCCCATTGACTTATAATGGGGAGGTCGCGAAATTGACCTGACCTTAGGTCACCGATATCAAAATTCCGAGATATACAAATTGTAGCTACTAATGACCTTATAATATCCTGCGAATTTCAAAGGCCTCCGACATCTACTGTAGCTCTGGCACGGTGACAAAGTTGCAAAAAAGTGACTTGAGGTTGGGTCATTCAAAGTGACCTGGTGACCTGACCTTAAAAGGTAGGAGGTTCAAACTTGCACACCATGTGTAAAATTGATGAGGTTATAGTCATACCAAATTTCGCGGCGCGTAGCGCCGCGGTTTTCCCGCTATTCGCAAAAAACCTCAGGGGGGCGGATATCCGCCCCCCCCCCCGTCGGTGCGCGGGTTAAAGGGACTATCCCACTTTTACGTTAGATTTGAGTTGAGATAGCCAAGTTTGCGGCGAGGTCCAGAAACCACTATCTATCTTGGTTGCAACCCCCGCGGCCTCGTGGTGTTGAAGAAATTCGTTCCCTTCATTTGAAAATGAGCCCTGCGCAAGGCCCAATCTCTTAACTATTAACGGTAATCTGATGACGTCATTTGCCTTTTGAACGCCTGTTCAAGTGAAGTATCACTTGATTTACGAATAAGCCAATCAGAGACACTTTTGTTATTGTATGAGCCGAGTCATATTTGAGAGCAAATACCTATATTTGCTGCCAAATTTCCCCCACACTGATATGAAGTAAATCCTTCATTACGTCACAGATCCGATCTAAATGACGTCACGATGAAATATAAAATTCGCAATATCTCAAAAAGTATACGATGAAAACGCGTAAAAACTTGCAGAATTCGTCACAATATCATGAGTAACATTTCCGAATCCTAAACAGGACTTTTTTGAAGGTGGGATAGTCCCTTTAAGGTCAAATTGGAGAAAACGGCTACGAGCCAAAAATGGACAAAAATTGGCCTGACCTAAAAAATGGCTTAGCTATTTGTTTTAGAAATGGCACCCTTTCGAACATTGCCAAAGAAGAACTGGAGTAAAATTTCATAATTTTGACGACCTTTCGAATACCGCATGGCCCAGAAGTCAAGCTGGAAGGGGAGATCGAACAACACCTAATCCGGCTCTTGTTACGGCCGGGCCACCACCCAGACGTGGAACAATGAACCATTTATTCAGGTTATTCCCTGACATTACGGTGTAGGTTGAGCTGTCCATGTATATTGAGAGTCGTTACACGAAGTGCTTATGACGACATAAAATGTGACCTTTGGTGTATTCTTCACCTTCATTTCTAACATCAGAACAAAGCCATCGTCATTCGCAATCACTTTCGATTCAAGCCTACGGTCCACCCTCCCAGCCAACACTCTTTCAATGCAGCTTCGTATCTGTAGCAGCATAATCCTCCGAGGGTAACCGTTTAAGCGACTGGTTGGCCTATGACTCTCCCGCATGCCTTGCGCCGTGGCTCTCCCGTGCCAACGGAATTGGATCAGCTGCTGCTTGCGGCGCACCATTTGTTGGTCGGCATAGCCCAATTTCTCCCTCGCTTCCTCTCAGCTCATTGCCCTGAAATGGTGTGAGGTGACGACCGGCCTAGGCCAACAATGAAAATTAGGTAAACAAATACCATTACTGCCACTGACCCCTAATTTTCGAAGTGTGTTTCGGACAATCAAAATACTTGCTTAAGCCAGGCATTCTATAGCATGCCTAAGCAGTCAGGGATTCTATAGAAATTAGAATACCTAGGGATTCTATAGAATGCCTGGTCGGTCAGGCATTCTAAAGAATGCCTAGGCATTCTACATTGTACAGAATGTATAGAATTCTACATTGTATAGAATGCCTGATTCCACACATTGCCTGTAACATATACAACACTAATGGAGGGAAATGGTCTGCCTTCAGCCTTCATTTGCTAAGCTCCGACCCGCGAAGCGGTAAACGATGTTCGAAAGGTCTTCAAAAATGATCACATACAAATTACTCGGCCAATTGGGGTCATGTAAGAGCCACTTTATCTGATGCCGACAGATTGTCAGCATCAAGGGTCACTTTCCCCTCCATAAAAATGTGCATCATGCAAAATATACCCCTCGTGTCTTAAAGCGCGCCTGCTATGTAGACAATGCCAGTCATTGATCAGCCATTATAAATGCATCTCAACGAAGAAAGATGTGGTATCTGCCGTACCTATACTGAAAAACATAGAAAAGGTTGGAAATAAATATAATAAGATAAAACACTTTGTATTTTCACTGTAAATCAAA